GCTTCTCTTGAGCTGGAGATGAGCTGCGCGGATCCAGTCGATCAACACCTCAGTGACATCACCCTTGCTGCGCAAGGGGAAGACTGTGGTGTAACGCGATTAGTCGTCAACCACCAGCAGGAAGTAGCGCTCGTGACCCTGTCCACGGACGCGGGCTGGGCCCCACACGTCCATGTGAAGCGTCTGCAGCGGGGCCTCTGTCGGGGGAAACTGAGAGGAGTGAGGGGCAGCTCGGAGCCGCCCCTCGACACAGGGGACACAGGAAGGACCAGGCCCCGGAGGAAGGGGAGGGAGGGACCGGGGAAGACCAGAGACAAGGACACGGGAAGCCATGCCTTGGAGACGAGGCAAGGAGGGGTGACCAAGACGGTGGTGCCACAGGAGAGTCTCGTGAGACAGGAGGCGACACGAGCAGGGGGCAGACTCAGGACCAGACCTGGACGCTGCAGCAAACACCTGACCCGACGCAGCTACCTGGCCAGAAGCAGGGACAGGAGGGGACCCACTGGTCAGGGTGTAGAGGCTCGACCCCGCCGACGCGTAAACATGGCCAGGTGCCGTCCCGTGCGAGCGTCCGAGCAGTGGGTCACCCGCTGACTCGCAGGAGTAAACCCCCGTATCCTGCAGGTCAGCACGACTCACCAAGTTCGTAGAGAACTAGGGGAGGTAAAGACCAGACAAGGTACCAGAGGGGGCAGCTGGACACGGGAGGACAGTAGAGAAGTGAGAGAGGACAGGACCCCAAGAGGGGTCTGCCAGGGAGATTGCAACCGGCCGACCAAGCGGCGTAAGTGTGGTGCGGTCTCGAAAGAAGGAGCGAGAAGCCCCCGAGTCAAGTGTGAAGGTGAAGGAGGCCGAAGCCGACGCGGTACCTGAGAGCGCAGCCTCACTAGTACCTGAGGGCGCAGACGCGCTGGCACCTAGAGCAGCAGCCTCACTAGCACCTAGCGCAGCAGTACCAATGCCCGGTTTGGGCAGGAAACACCGGTAACAGTCACCCTCATCACTAATAGTCACAGCATACATGGCAGCAAGGATAGCATTAAGGTCAAGATCATAGATAGCGACACCTGCCCTAGACAGCTCTCCCCAGCGGGGGATCTCACTAGCCTCCGTGAATTGCTGACGCCAAGCGTCCGTCAGGCGGCCAAAGCAGCGCTGCGTGGGGTGGGCACCCCCACACTGCTCACCCGCGCGGTCGCCGGAGCGAAGGACGTAGGTGCACGGACCAGAACCCCCACCACGCTGACGCTGCGCGTACCACTCATGGAGCTGCTGAGTGGGGGGAATGTCCCGAGAACGCTGCTGCTGCTGCTGGTGGCGCTGACCACCACCAGGGCTGCTCCGCTGCGAAGCGCCACCCCGACCACCGCCACCTCCTCCACCACCGCCTCCTCCACCTCCGCCACCACCGCCGCCTCCGCTAGCACCGCCGCCGCCTCCGCCTCCACTGCTGCCACCGACACCTCCACCCCCGCCACCACTCCCACCGCCACCCCCACTCCCTCCGCCGCCTCCACCGCCACCTCCACCACCCCCGCTAGCTCCACCCGCGCCCTTGCCCCCCTTGCCATTGCCAGAGCGGCGTCTCCCGCTAGGGGCAGACGCCGCACCGACCGACTCAAGACCAACGAGGTCGGCCGCAGTGGCAGAGGCGACAGAGGGCAAAAGGGTGGAAGGAGAACACCCCTCAAAGATGGGGGTGCGAGGGTCACCACGAGAGGCTCCTACAGCGACTATGCTCTTCTCCGCTGCTAGGAGGGCCTTCTCTAAGAGGTCAACAGTGAGAGTGGTGGGACAGACTGAGAGGAAGTGGTCCCTGACTACACGAAGGGAGTCAGGGAGGCGGGTGACTGTATAATAGAGAGTGATGTACATGGGGGGGGGGTTATTGGCGCAGAACTCAGCAGGAAGCGCGGCGCGGTAGCGAGTGTCACTAGTGCGGAGGTGCGTAATGAGGTCAGCGACTGTGGGAAAGGCAGCAAGGTCAGGGAAGAGGTACGGTAGCATGAGGCGGCTCAGTGCAGCAGTGGCAGGGGAAGAGTAGCGCGCAACTACAGCATCGTACAAGGTCTGAGCACTCTTGTACTGACTAAAGTGCGCGCGCTCAGTGGTAGGCAGGTGGCGACGCACAGCAAGACGTGCAGCAGCATCGCGAGTGGCCCACTGTGAGCGAACAGTGGCGTCGGCATCGGCAGCAGGGGCAGGGGAAGCACCAGAGGTGAGGTCAAGACCGTCTGCCCTATCGCACTGTAGGAAAAGCTGCAGGTCATCTACCCAAACCTCAAAGTCAATGGCTCGACCCTCAGCGTCAAAAGTGAGAACACTGGGGGTAGCCATGACAGCAGTCGACTAGCAGTACCAACTGTAGGACAGGGGGAGTGCAGTGACAGAAGCGCTGCTCTCACCAGACAGGGCGGGTCGGGCAGCTCAGCAGTACAGCAGCACGGCAACACGGCTGCTCGGACAGCACAGCAGCAGCTGCGGCTCCGTGGCACCAGCGGCTCGGCTCCTCAGGCGGCTCGGGCGGCTCAGGCGGCTCGGGTGGCTCGGGCGGCTCGGACGGCTTGGGTGGCTCGGGCTGGTCGGGCGGCTCGGGCGGCTCGGGAGAGTCGGGCGGCTCGTGCGGCTCAGGCGGCTCGGGCGGTTCGGGCGGCTCGGGCGGCGCGGGCGGTGTAGGGCGGCAAGGCCGCAAGTGAAAGGGGCGGCGGGGCCGCAGTGAAGGGGCGGCAGGGCCGCTGGTAAAGGGCGGCGGGGCCGCTGAGAAGGGCGGCGGGGCCGCTGAGAAGGGCGGCGGGGCCGCTGAGAAGGGCGGCGGGGCCGCAGTAGAAGGGCGGCGGGGCCGCTGAGTAGGGCGGCGGGGCCGCAGCGAGAGAGGCAGCGGGGCCGCAGTGAAGGGCGGAGGGGCCGCTGAGTAGGGCGGCGGGGCCGCAACGAGAGAGGCGGCGGGGCCGCAGTGAAGGGCGGCGGGGCCGCTGAGTAGGGCGGCGGGGCCGCAGCGAGAGAGGCGGCCGGGCCGCAATGAAGGGCGGCGGGGCCGCTGAGACGGGTGGCGGGGCCGCTGAGACGGGCGGCGGGGCCGCTTAGACGGGCGGCGGGGCCGCAGCGAAGGGCGGCGGGGCCGCAACATGAGGCAGCGGGGCCACAGCGAAGGGCGGCGAGGCCGCGAAGAAGGGCGGCGGGGCCGCTGAGACGGGCGGCGGGGCCGCAGCGAACGGCGGCGGGGCCGTAGCGAGGGGCAGCGCGGCCGCAGCGAAGGGCGGCAGGGCCGCGAGGAAGGGCGGTGGGGCCGCAATGTGGGGCGGCGGGGCCGCAGCAAAGGGCGGCGGGGCCGCTGAGAAGGGCGGCGGGGCCGCAGCAAAGGGCGGCGGGGCCGCTGAGAAGGGCGGCGGGGCCGCTGAGAAGGGCGGCTCGAAGAGGTGAGAGCCCGGAGCGCGACTCGGGCTGAGCGCGCTTCGGGCAGGAAAAAAAAAAAAGATCGATGTGGTGGGCCCTAGGCACAGTTCCCACAGGGGAACCTGCTCGATACCATGAGGAAAGTAGAACGAGAATGATTGACTAAGGAATGGAAGTGATACAAATATGCAACCCTAGAAATGTGTACCCCATATAGGCTACCCCACTATAGCCTACACAATATTATAATGTGACATAACACTTTGCTACGGGGTGAGAATATTAACTCCACGGAACGCACGACCCTTTTCTACGCTCCGTAGTACTTTGCCCAACTTCTTAGGTACCTAAATAATTTCTAAAGGCTTTTTCTTGGCCTCTAAACCTCCCCTGAATTTTTCAAAGGCTTGAAAACTACAAGAAGCAATATTCTTTGTTAGAGTATCTTTATAGGATACTTTTAACGAGTTCTTACTTTCGTGGGTGTTCGGCTGGAGTTTCCCGGTCGGTGCAGAGTCTTTTTTCGCGGAGCCTCCATTCGCCTCGGCGATTTCCCCTGATGCCGGCCGGTCGTGACATTTTAGATTCGCGCCATCATTTTCTCCTTTTTTCACCCGCTCCGAAGTCGCCACGTCGTCGCCTTTTTCTACTTTTCGGATCTTTACGCAATCGCCAGGTCGATCCGCGGCTATTGGCGATTCTAATTTTTTTACTTCGGGGGTGCTCCACTGTTTCCGTCCCGGAGTGCCGCACGTGCTTTCTTCATTTTGTAGCACGACAAAAACAGATGCCTTGATGCGCCGCAAAATTCGCACTTTGTTAGCTGCTACTTCGCGTCGTATTTGTCGATATCCATCGGTTCGGCGAACATGCGGGGTGCCGATCGCTCCGTGCCGAATGTACGGTTCGGCGTGAAGCGTCATGTTTTGGGTTGACCTCGAGTCAGCGCGTCGTATCACTCGGCAGTACGCACGATGTCTCTGTAGCTGTTGTAATTCGCCGCAATCACCTGCCGCCGAATCTCCATTTTTAACCCTTCGGTGTACGCCTGGATTTTTTCGCCTTCGGTCAGGTCGGTGATGCGGTTGAGCAGTAACTCCATCTGCTGCGTGTACTGTGCTACACTACTGTATTGTTTGTGTAGGTGTATCTGCTGCCGCGCCATGTAGGTTGTATTAATTGGTTCGAAACGCTCGATTAAATCTGCCCGAAACTACTGCCACGTTTTCTCCCCGCGGGCTACGTTAGTATAGTAAATTCATTCGAGAGCCGGTCCACGTAACAGTGTCGCTGCGAGCCGAATCCTTGCTGCGTCATGTTGCGGGGTCGAATAGCCAATGGCCTTGAAGTAAATTTCGAGGGTGGCCACGAATCGCTGGACGTCGGATCCCTTCGCGCTTGGATCGAACGCCTCTGGGAGCCTTGGTCGTGCTGCTTCGAGGTTCGGCGACAGTGGTGCCATTGGTCCATGAAATGTCGGTGTCGCCACTGCTGCTGGAGTTGTCGGTGCTGCAGTCGCTGCGGTCGCTGCTGCTGCAATGGCAAACCCTGGTTGGCTTGTCACAAAAGCCTCGAGTCGACGAAGCGTCGCCTGCGTCTGCTCCATGTCGGTGCGGAGGCTCGCGATGTCGCTCGTAGTGGCGTAGTTGTCGCCTTGGCCCTCCATGCCTGACATCAACGCGACCGAAAAACCAAATCGAGGGGGAGCGAAAAACACGGAACCGGTTTTACGTACCCGAAATCGATGTTTGACTGCGTCGCCCCCGCGGTTTTTTTAAGACTGGTTTTAGCGGTTGAAAGAACTTCGCATGTAAACGGGCTCTGATTACCAAGTGTGAGGATCTAGGATCGAGCTCAAAAAAGAGAATATGAATTGAATGATCACCTGGGTACAACACGAGGCTATATATAGGCTCGACACAAGGCCCTGTAACTAGGTGTTACGCGAAGGTTCCGCGGGTCGCGAAGCGTCCCGAACAGATCCTTTCCGAATTCGAGAAGGCAATTCGGTGGCAACTGAAAAGCCAGAATTCGGTGCACGCAACCGAGCTCGGTGCTATAACTATCATAAAATATAAGAAAGCACCTAGCCTAGGAAATCAAGCAATTCATGCATGCATATAATTATCCTATGCTAGAAATAGCATGATAAAGTAAAGGCAAGCAAGCATAGCTGGCATAAGCCGTCGTACTCTCACACCGCTCATCGTCGAGAACCCGAAGCTGGTCGGCGTGAAGGCGCTCCGACTGGAGCTGGTGCACCACGTGGAGAGGGCCGCGCTGAACACAAGGGAGGCGTCGACCGTGGGTCGTGGCGTCGGAACTGGAATCACTCTGGGTGGGGAGGACGAGGATGCTACAGCGGGGTCGCACTCTGGCGAGCCCGGCCCCACAGATGGCGGCGAGGAGGAGCACGAGAGGGAGGACGAGGAGAGGGGCGAGGAGCAGGACGGTGGCTTGGACGAGGAGGAGGAGGACGAGGAGCGTGAGGACGACGACGTGATGGTCACCGGCGAAGAGGAGGCAGTACAGTTCGCCGGTGAGAAGGTTGCGGATAAGAGCGGTGGCAGCGGACCCAAGTCGGGCAAGAAGGCGTGGGGCAGCGGTGGCTCAACCACGACTAGGATGGTGTCAAAGGCGGGTATTGAGCGTATGAAGGCGGCGGAGAGGGAAAACAAGAAGCTGAGGGAGGAGAAGCTGGTGGCGGAGAAGAGGCTGGAGTTCCAGACGGCCCGGATTGACACGCTATTTGGCGTGGTCACCTCGGCCCTGAACAAGCTCACGACTGTCGCCGACTCCGTGACCTCTCACGAGCAGACGTCGGGGAGGAGCCTCCAAACGGCGGTGGCCGCTATGAGGGAGGTCGTGCAGGAGGCGGTGAACTATCGTGGCTCCACCCTAGAATTCATGAACGCAAAGTGGCTGCCCACCGTACAGGCCCTGCACTTGACGGCTTTTGCTGCAAACACTAGGCGACGGGAAGACGACGTCCTGCTATTGCGAGGTGTGGCAGATGCTCTGGGCGAGAAGATCAAAACAGCCGTATCTGCTGAGGTGAAGGCCGCCATGGAGAGCAAGGCGCAGGGGATCGCCGCCGCCGTGACTGCGAAAGTCGTCCAAGAGCTTAGGGACGACCTGGTGAAGGCGGTCACCTCTGCGACCCAACAGGGCCTTGGTACCGCCGGGTTTAGCTTCCTCCCAACTGCTCTCGCATCGGTAATACACGGTGGTTGCTCTACTGCCAAAGAGCATGGGCTGGCGCCAAGGCACTGCGGGAAAAGGGTCGCCGGCAAAAAATCCTTGACTAGCGAGCAGACCAGCGGCACTAAGCAAAGCAGAGGACCTGCGGTGAAACGCGGTGTGGCCGTGGATCCTCCTGCCGCTCCGTATGTTCGTGTCCCCGGCGTCCACGACTTGCTGAAAGAGGGACTTGGCGCGCGACTCAGCGCCCGATAGGTTGACGACGTGCTCCAGGATCTAGCTTCGGTGGTCGGGAAGACCGGTGGGCAGCCCGTGGGGGACAAGCAGCCACAGGCCGCGACCGATCCGCCGAGCGCACACGACATGCCACCGAGCTGCGATCGGGCAAACCTGGCCGACGAGCTCCTGGGAAGGGTATCCGTGGTCGGGAAGAAGGGCTGGCAGCCATTGGCGAACCAACATCCACAGCCCGAGGCCAGTCCGACGATTGCACAAGGCGCTCGACCGAGCGGCGGCATGGCGCAGATGGCCGACGAGCTCCTGCACCTCGCAGCGGTGGTCGGCCAGCCGCGCGGGGAGCCCGTTGCGGGCCAGCATGTTCAACCCTCGACGAGTACGGCGATTGCGCGACCGACCGGCGTCACACCGCAGCTGGCCGACGACCTCCTGCGCCCCGCAGCGGTGGTCGGTCAGCAGGGCGAGCAGCCCGTTGCGGGCCAGCATCTTCACCCCTCGACGAGCACGGCGACTGCACAAGACGCGCGACCGGGTGGCCGTCACGGCATTCCTGGTCGACGAGCTCTTGCGCCTAGCAGCGGTGATCGGAAGGCATGTCGAGCAAGCCGGGGCGGGCCAGCATCCCCATACCGCGATGAGTCCGGCGAGTGCCAGTAGTGCGCGACCGGGTGGTGGCGTCACGGCACAGATGGCCGACAAGTCTTTCCGCCCTGACCAGCGAGCGACAGGCGTCCTACCCAGCGGCGTGGTCGAGGCTGCCACATCGGTGATTGTGTCTGCGACAGCAGTAGTGCCGACCAAAGCGGGTACTGCCCAAAGGACCGTGTCGCTGCCGAACCCGCCTCGGCCTACCACGGGCACTGCCGGTGCGGCCAGCTTACCCGTTCATGGGGCCATGGTCGGCGTGGAACCGATCCCGATCCCTAAGGCTGTTGAGGCTCAGGCGATCGAGGCTCTTATCACTCGGAGGCCATCGTGGGATGAGTATCTGAAATGGCTCGAGGATCAGGGTCAGAAAACCTCGGATATTCCTCCGACACCCAGCAACCAGGCGGTCGACCGAGGAGCAGAGGCAGCGAACGTCACGGCGGTGACTGCAGGGCCGAGGGTCACAACAGAGGAGACGGCTATTTGGAGAATGGTGGAAGAGGCCGGCGAGGGCCGGCGGGGTGGACCCCAAGATCCTTGCCAGTATCGTGATGCCGGACCCTGAAATCAAGGTCATGCGGGAGAAACTAAAAGCAGCAGCTCCCACTGTGGGAGCGCAACAGGGTACACCCGCCGCCTCGTCTACACCTGGGGAGGACCCTAGCGCGACTGGCGCCAAATCCCCCTCGGCCACAACCGGTGAGGTCGGCGACGGGAAGCAAACGCGCAAGGGCAAGGCGAAACTCGGCCCTTCCAAGGCGACGTCTAAAGCGGTCATGCAGGGTCGGAAGGGTTCGGGCGTCCGCGTTGACAAGGAGACGGGGCTGGCCACGTCGGAGATGAAGTTTGGGAAGAAGAGTCGTTACATTTGCAAGTCAATGGACAAGTCTGAGGCCGCCTACTACATCGCGGTCGCCGTTTCATCGTTCGACGGCTACGTGAGCGATCTGATTCTCGCCGAGTTCGTTGGTGTCAAGGAGTATGTGATGGAGCAGTATAAGTCGGACTGGAATGTGGTGCGATTGATTTCGAGCGACATGTGGACGATCATGTGAAACCAAGGTGCAAACGTCTTCCGCGACAGGTAAGCTTGGCGAATGCTCAATTAGGTCCTCGTTTCGGTCGGTACGCGTTTCGTTTCGGTCGTTTTGGTGACGGTGGGTCGTGCTGCTGTGTTTCGCAGGTTCCAAGAGGTGGTCGCGGAGTACAACAGGATAACCGCCGCCGACCGCGCAGCTCTCATGGTGGCTCTTCGTCCGGCGGTGTGGTTCGGCGACCTTTCGGAGTCGACCAAGCCTGAGAAGGCCGCAAAGAATATGGTGGCGAGCGACATGATCACACGTGCTTTGATGTGTGCCGCCTTCGCACCTGTGGCCGCGAAAGTCACGCCCATCCCGGGCGTCGAGTCGGAACGGTTATCCGAGATCCTGGCCGGGACTGCGTGCGCGGTGTGGTGCTTTTCGGAAACCAATGCCTCGGCGGAAGTAGCGGCCGGCGAAGGGGGGGCGGCAGCGACTGTGCGCGGAGCGTCCTCCGAGTTTGCGAGTCGGTGTAAGAGCGTCATCGAGGTGGTGCTTCAACGAGCGTCGTCCCGGGAGGTCGTCGTAGGAGAGGTCGTCGGCATGGTGACAAAGGATCTGCAAGGCGCTGTGCTGAGGTCGCTGCCTGAGGACGGGGACGAGCGCGACCACGACGAGCTGATCGCCTGTGTCATGTTCGAGAACCTCGCTTTCTGGGGGGACTGCTGTGTCGGTGGCCCTAAACTCAAAGCTCACGGCATAGTTTTGCCTATTGACGCCGACATGAAGACGATCGTTCGGAACAGGGGGGCGAGGGGGCAGCACAAAGGGAAGCAGGCGACTAACGCCTAGGTCGACGAACGCTGGCGCGAATGCTATTGTCTTGGTCGGCGTTGGTGCAAACGCTGCAGGCTCTCCGACGAAGACCTAGCAGGCGCTTCGACTTTGGTTAGGGTCGCTTGTGCGTGTTGTTGTGTAGTTCTGTTTTGCCTCTCCTATTTAGCAATTTTGAACATGATCGTCGGTTTCCTTGTGAAGTTGGTTTGATGCATTTACAAGAGACAAAAAAATTTGAACAACTAGTCGGTCAAACATTGGAAAAAAGTAAAAACAACACGTTGTTTCACAAGCACTAGTCGGACACCCTCAGCCCGCCTTCAGCCTACCCTAAGCCCACCCTCAGCCCGCCTTCAGCCAACCCTCAGCCCGCCGTCAGCCCACCCTCGGTCGCACCACCCTCAGCCCGCCCTACAAGTTGCACATGGACGGACTACCCTCAGCCCGCCCTCTTGTGTTTCCCAGCGCCGGAGCTCTCCGCCCTCGCTCCCGCGGTCGTCTTGGCCTCCAAGCCGACCTTCTTGGCGTGCTCCTCCCCGCCAAAGATATCCTTCCCCCATTCAAGGTCGGCGTAGCCCGCTGAGACAACGCCCCACACAACGGCCAGGTTCCTGTACTGCGGCTTGTCCAGACCCTTGATGCTGGTCGGCTTTCCGTCGGCTGTGGTCAGGACCTTCATGGGCGTGGTCGCACGGAGGACCATGAGAGCGTCGCTGAAAGTAGAAAGACCCGCCCGCCCCAGGTGGTCGAGTAGCTTGACCATGGCGGCGGTTTCAACGTCGTCGTCGCTCCGCCGCAAGAAGTGCACGATTTCCATGATCCGCTTCACCCTGGGACAATCGTCGGTCGACGCTTTTCGGCCACGAGAGCTCTTCGCCGACTTCGCCGACACTGCGGGTTTGTCGGCCTTCTCGACCTTGTAGATCATGCGCGTGTGTCTGACGAGGAATCTGGGCTCCTCGTAACCTTCGCACAAAGGCCGCGCTTCCACGTGCGACAGGTTGTTCCACCAGCGCCAGGCAGCCTCGACCGTCTTGGACGTGCGCCAGGGATGCACGACGTTCACCTCATACATGAGGTCGTCGTCCTGCTCCTTCTCAATCTTGACAGCCGCTGCCTTCTCGGCGTCGGTCATCGGCCTTGACGGCGCCGGCGCAGTCGGCGTCGTCCGTGCCTCGGTCAGCTTGAGAGCCTGCATCAACCTCGCGGTCTCAGCGTTCTTCTCCTCCAACTTCTTCTGCATCTCAAGCTTCTCGATCGCGGCATCCTCCCTCTGGCGGTGCAGCATCATGGTGAGCAGGTCGACCTGATGTTCGGCGTTGACTCGCGCGCTAAATTCCTGCGATCCAAGGGGGATGGGCGGCAAACGGTCAGCGGATGAAGACGGACGACTTGTTTTAGTGGTCGCCGGAACGCGCATGCCGTACCTCTTGGGGGTTCTCGCTAGGAGTACGGCGCGTGGCGATGGTTTCGAGGTCCATCCGGTTGATGTCCTTGGCCCATTTCTGGAAGTCGGGGTCGCGGCAGAGCTTGGAACTATGGACGTACGGGTGCCACGGCTCGCGCATCAGCATGCACGCAAGATCCTCGGCAACGATGCGGCGGCCGAACTCAATGAACGATTGCAGGAAGTGCATCCCGGCCGTGTTGGGTTCTCTCCCCGTGGCGCACTTTTCCGCCTTAGAGACGAACACAAACAGAAACACAATCAACCGTCGGTGGAATGTCGGCGTGGAAAAGGGTGGCGGGTGGTCGGCGTTTCGGGCGTCTGAATTTCTCACCTTAGCCAGTTCCGCTTCCGCCCACAGAAAGATATGAGGGATGAGGGCCACCACCTTGTCGTCGGGCTTTACCATGCTGCGGCTGAGGTGGTAGTCGCCACGCTTGCCCGTGTAGCCGGCCTTTCTTAACACTGCCGCCTTTGGGATGGTCGTGATGTAGCTCTTCGCAAGCTTGTCGAGCGCTTAGTGGCCCAAGTCGGCGATGTCAGATCGCGGAACGCCATTATCGGCCAGCTCCTATGCCCCACCCGCCTGGGCAGCGTGGGTGTTGCGCGTGATGAAGATCTTGTTCGTCCGCCACATCTCCTTCGTGATCCGAGAATGAGATGAAGCCAACAGCTGTTTTTGTGTCTTGTCGTTCCGAGCATGAAAGAGGTGCTTGTGGTACCACATGTACGGAGTACTGAAATCGAGGGGCGGCACAAGTCGAGAGGTGGGCGACCGGCTCAGCTGGTCGTAAATGAACTGCAGCCACAACAGTGTGTGGTCGACGGCGCACATCTCCTGCTCCAGGTGTCTCGCCGCGTAGCTGTGGTGCAGACGAGCATCCTTGTTTGCCTTGGAGTTTCGTGACACGACGACCATTACAACCGGTCGTTGCGTTGAGTGCTCGGGCGTCGTGCTCCCCATTCTGTACAAGAACAAGTCGGGGAGCTCAATCGCTCGGAGGCTGGCTCTGCGGAGAAGGGTGTGGTGACCCAGGAGTGTCATCGTCTTCATCAACAGAAACTTCCACATCGTTTGGGAGGGGGAGACCGCCTTGGGTTCGTACGCCCGCGCCGCCCAGGTCGGCAGCACCTTGAACATGAGGTGGCGGATCTGTTCGGTGGTGTACGTGTCGCCGAGCGTTCCGCGGTGTCGGTCGACGCAATCCATGCACATCAGTTCGGATGAGGACAGGGTTAGCTCAGCGAACAGGAAAGCATGCGTGAACTGCGCTGGACTACTTGCCGACTTACCTGTCGTCCCGGTGCCACTTCTCTCTGACCATCGCGCGCACCTTCGAGCGGACCTCGGAGATGTCGTACATGATGTGGAGCTCCTTAGCCCCGAAGAGCGTCCCCTCGACCTTGCATGCCGTCTGGAGCGCTTTGATGCCATGAGCAGCATCGAAATGGTTGTCGCCTTCAGGGGCTGGACACAGACGTTAGGGTTCAGCTCCTCGAGCTCCTCGGCCTTTGCAACACCCTTATGTCTGGCGATTGACAGAATGTACGCCCTGATCCGCGTGGCGTTGACGCGTGGACCGTGCATCCAAAGGAGGTCGTCCTTGGCGGTGTACCAAAGATCACCCATGTCATCGTCGATGTACCTCCCTATCTCGTCCTCGTGCTCCAGCACGCCGTCCCCCTTGATTCTGGCGGTTTTCTGTTTTGGAAGTTCCTTACAGCACCATCTCTTGAAGTCGAGAAGCGCCCGCAGGTAGTGAAGGCGGGTCGTTCCCGCCTCCAGTGTGTCCAGGTGCCGCATACCCCAGAGCATCCTCAGCAATTTGTTCTTCTTGGCGAGCTCTTTGTTGATGTCGAAGGCGGCTTCCGCAAAATCGTCGCGCGGGATGTTTACAAGAAGTCATCATATTTTTCGTCGGCTGCCAACAAATCCTCTACGGTCAGGTATGTCAGAATCCCAGCCACTAACCACTGGGATAAAAGGGCTTATTTGTGTAGCGGGTGAGTGCGCCCATAACCCCCCAGGCCAACGTGCCTGTAACCCTTCCCTAGGATCAATCGGGGATCACCAGTGGACCTCTGACACCCCCCCGCACTGGAATGCTCGAAGTGCACACACTGGGATTCGAACCCGATACCTTCGCTCTGATACCATGTCAGAATCCCAACCACTAGACCACTGGGATAAAAGGGCTTGTTAAGTAGTGGGTCAGTGCGCCCATAACCCCCCAGGCCAACATGCCTGTAACCCTTCCCTAGGATCAATCGGGGATCACCAGTGGACCTCTGACACCCCCCCGCACTGGGATGCCCGAAGTGCACACACTGGGATTCGAACCCAAGACCTTTGCTCTGATACCATATCAGAATCCCAGCCACTAACCACTGGGATAAAAGGGCTTATTTGTGTAGCGGGTGAGTGCGCCCATAACCCCCCATGCCAACGTGCCTGTAACCCTTCCCTAGGATCAATCGGGGATCACCAGTGGACCTCTGACAAGGTACTCCATGTCGATTTCTGGAAATGGGCCAATTGGCGGCGGCTGCTCCGTGGCCGAAGCCGCCTCCGGGTCCGGCTCGGGTTGGGGAGCCCCTTTCGTCCCTGGCGGTAGGGGGATGGTCGGGTCGGCGTGAACGTTTGCCCTAGCGGCGTCTACATCCACCACCAAGTAAGGCTCGTTCAGGTCGGGAATCGCGCTGTTCACCGCCGGCGGCGTGACGCCTGCCATCTCGGCGGGTTAAGTTGTTCCCGTCGGCATCTAGTTGTCGACACGGTCTCGCGGCGGTAGGTGTTCCGCCGTCCAAAGGCGATACTGTACAATCACTGCCGTGTATTGCCTTCGCACTAAGGTCCTAAAGGCGACCCTCTCAGCGATCGTCAACTCTGCGGCAATGTCGGACAGTTCGGAAACTTCGGGCGGTGGATTGGTGTTCTGCGGGGTGTTGTTCGGCGTGGTTGTGGTCGGCGGGGTGTTAAGTGGCGTGGTGTCGTTCATCGGGGTGTTGTTCGGGGCGGGGTTGGGCGGGGGGGGGTGTTGTTGATCGGGGTGTTGTTCGTCCGGGTGTTGTTATGCGGGATGTTGTTAGACTGGTCCCTGGCCATTCGAGGCCGTCCTGGGGATTAACGGCGACGACGATCTGGTTCAGGCTACGAAGAAAGACGTCGGCCACGTTCGGATGTTGTCCACCTAGCTAGTCGTCCTAGGGTAATACCGCGAATGATCCGAAGTCGGCAGCCCGGTGAGTTTGCCTACCTGAACGCACCCTGTACACCGGTGTGTCGTCGTTGTCGAACATGCACCACAAGAGGTCGGTCGGTCTCAGAGTTGCGTGAAAATGACTAAGGGAATGAATGCGAGAGCGTGGCTTCCTAGAAAAAATGTGAATGGAACGCAAAAAGCAAGAGACAAAATGGCACAGACAGATGGCCGTTGGTGGGTCATAGCAGAGAGTGCCACCGTCGCGGTTCGGGCAGACAGGTGTTGGCGGGCGATCCGTGGCCAGGTCTCCAACCCTGCATACACAGCAGAACAGCGGCGTTCTGGTCGACGTGGAACGGTGCACGCATATCTGTTTTGCAACCGACTTTCCGCTCGGAGGCCTTCGTTATCGTGCTTACACGTCGGCATGACAAAGCACTGCTCATCGCGTCGCCCGAGATGTCAGAATCTTATAATTGTCTAGCCTGCAGTGGGGTACTCTATAGCGAGTACAACCCAATTAGGGTTTCCTATATGTATGCCAACTGCTGCTAGTGCAACCCCTCTCTTCTTCATTCCTCGATTCTTCACATGCTATCAGAGCATCTACGCTCCTGGCCTGTGGGCCCACCTAACTGCTTCCGCTGCTACTCTGTGTACTGCACACCCCGTGGCGTGCCCCTCGCGCGACCCTTAGCGGCTCCGTCGCCACCCCTTACGGCCCCGTCGCCGCCCTTCTCGGCCCCTCGCGGCCCCTTCGCGGCCCCGTCGCCGCCCCTTCGCGGCCCCGTCGCCGCCCCTAGCGGCCCGTCGCCGCCCTTCCAGGCCCTTCGCGGGCCCTTCGCGACCCCGTCGCCGCCCCTATCGGCCCCGTCGCCGCCTCCAGCGGCCCCGTCGCCGCCCCTTGCGGCCCCGTCGCCGCCCCTAACGGCCCCGTCGCCGACCTTTCAGGCCCCTCGCAGCCCCTTCGCGGCCCCGTCGCCGCCCCTATCGGCCCCGTCGCCGCCTCCAGCGGCCCCGTCGCCGCCCCTTGCGGCCCCGTCGCCACCCCTTTCGGCCCTGCCTCGACCCTGCCCCGGCCCCGCCCCGGCCATGCTCCGTCGCCTGACGCAGCGCACCGGGGGCACGTGCACCGCCCCCCCCCCCTCTTTTCCCGTCGCCTGTCGAGGCGACCTGAGGGGGGCGCGACTTGTGGGGGGGGGGGCGAGCGTCGCCCCTTCTGCCGCCTGTTTTGGCGCCCTGGGAGACCGCGCGTCCCCCCCCCCCCCCCCCCCCCCCCCCCTCGTAACCTCCCTACCCGTCGCCCGGCCCTGCCCTGTGTTAGGGTTTGGGGGTGGCGAGTAGGGGGTGGCGGGTGTGTGGTCTCCCCTGCTCCTCCTCCTCCTCTGTCTCCCACTGCTGCAGCTGCCGCTGAGGGGGGTGGGTGTGTGGGAGTCGACGGAATGGTGCTAGGGGGTGGGGTGTGAGTGAACCTAGGGTGCAGCAGGGTGTGTGTGTAAGGGGGGTTCTTTGGGAGTAGAACTAGGGTTTGAGCAGGGGGTGTGTCTCGAGAGGTGTGGGACAGCTGGAGGAGGTTGTGTGAAGGTAGCTGTCGTGTCACCTGCAGCGCCTGTAGTCCGTCGCCCTTGCTTCGGTAGCCAGTGAGCCTGTTGCACCAGTCGCTAGTGGGTCCGTTGCTCCTGCCGCTCGTCTATAGCCGCGGAGCGAGTTACTCCAGTAGTCCGTCGCCCTTGCTTCGGTAGCCACTGAGTCAGCCGCTCCTGTGCCCGTGCCTCTGCAGCTTCAGTCGTTGCCTCCCATCTTCTCTCCCTCCACAGTTCCTCCTCCTCCTCACTTGCCCGCTGTGATTAACTTTAGCTTTGCTCGCTATTGTGAACTCCTGCTCTATGCCTGCTTGCTCATTGTGCTGATTACACCCCACTTTGGCTATGGGGGTGTGTCAGAATGTTATAATTGTCTAGCCTGCAGTGGGGTACTCTATAGCGAGTACAACCCAATTAGGGTTTCCTATATGTATGCCAACTGCTGCTAGTGCAACCCCTCTCTTCTTCATTCCTCGATTCTTCACACGAGATGCTATCACGCGAGCATGTTCCCGCCTACAGGCCGACGAAGGCTTGGTCGCAGCGTGGACAGGTGCCCGCCGAACGATGTTCGACGCGTGGAATGTTATGTTTTGGATGGGTGACGTCTTGCTCTGCGCGCTAGAGCATTGGTCGGCCAGGAATTGCGGTGGGCCTCACGTCGCAGTCTGTGCCGATGGCAACCAGGACGTCCTGGCACGCTGGCTGCGACCGGCGGCGTCAACGTGTCGACCTTGTAGAGAGGTCCTGTTGAGAGGTGCTATCAAGGTATCTCTCAACGGGATAGCCGGGTGACGCAGGATGACGCTCCTCGGCCAGGACGTGCACCCAGTTAACTGGACAGGATGACGCAGGGTGGCGCTCCCTTTCCCGAGCCGCGTCGTTTTTTAAGCCGGATGTAGTACTGTAGTACTGAAGTAGTACTGTAGCACTGACATACTGTAGTACTGTAGTACTGAAGTACCATGCTGAAGTACTGTAGTAGTACTGTAGCACTGACATACTGTAGTTCTGAAGGCCATGTGAGAATCTCACGGATGGGTATCAGTTATCACTTTCCAAACGGAAAATACTACGGTTTCATGCAGAGCACGCAATGAATGCAAAGCGCCACCTCAATTGTGTAATTTTGAAGGTCAACAACAAATCTTTGAAAAGCGAGTGGCAGTTCCGGTACGCAGCCACCCCGGTGGGGAGAAGCACGGTTTGCAGCAGAGGGAGCAGCAGGAGGACCGGCAGGTGTTGGAAGAAGGGCAGAGGGGGGGAGGAAGCAGCGGAGAAATTGAAGCACTTGGAAGAATTGCTGAAGCGGAGAAGGCAAAGGCGAAAGGAGTAGCAGTGGTGGCGACGGTAGTGAGCGGGCGTGAAAACTGTTCTCTGTACCTGATTTCCTTTTCACTGTTCTCCATACCTGATTTCCTTTTCCCTGGTCTCCATACCTTCTTTCCTTTTCCCTGGATGTGTACGCACCATTGGGCTTGTAATCGGCTTCACTTGGGGTTCGCCTATCCACGGTCAATTCCTCCGCAGCGACATAAAGGAGAGTGCCATGAAAGAAGAGACATGAAGGGAAAGACGTAAAGGTGAGTGCCATGAAAGTGAGTGACTTAAAGGAGAAGGACAAAAAAGTGAGTCACACAATAGGGAATGAGATAACGGTGGGTGAAATTAACGTGGGAGGTATGTGTTAGACTTAGCACAAAGCCGCATCCACACACATGCATGCTCACACTCATGCACGCGTGTGCATGCCCAGACTCATGCACACATCAGTACTCACACAAATTTCAAACATACCTTCCACCTGTCCCTCTCTTGCGTCAGGGGGAAAGCCAAGGAAGACGCAGGGAACAGCACGGGGGGTTAGCTTGTCCGCAGACAAGTCGCGAACAAACGCCCGAGATCCCCAGACACGAAACGCAGACGCATCGCCAACCTTCCCCGTCCATCGCAGGGTGGGGGAGGTCTCTGGCAAGGAGACCCGGGGCTGAAGGTTGAGCTGATGCGCTGCGTACAGAACCGCAAACGGCCACAGAAAATGGGGGGCAGCCGCATGGATCATGGACGTACGAGCGACGTCCATGACCATGCCAATGCGGTGCTCAGCAATCCCATTTTGCTCTGGAGAGGCCGGAAGCGTGAAGGTCTGGCAGATGCCCTGTGCCCGACAGAAGGCTCGCAGACGGGCAGAGGAAAACTCCCCGCCTCTGTCAGAGTGCAGACGCAGAACAGGAAAGTCCGAGCCGAAACTCTCTCTAAGCTGGAGACGAGATGCGCGGATCCAGTCGATCAACACCTCAGTGACGTCGCCCTTGCTGCGCAAGGGGAACACCGTGGTGTAACGCGAGTAGTCGTCAACCACCAACAGGAAGTAACGCTCGTGCCCCTGGCCACAGACGCGGGCGGGGCCCCACACGTCCATGTGAAGAGTCTGCAACGGAGCCCTGTGAATTTCGCATCCAACCCGCCTGCCCGGCGAGGGCAGCCCGAGAGGGTTACTAGGGCCTCGCGGGCAACGCGAAGTGAATGTTCGCCACTGTGAAGGGGTTACTAGGCCCCTCGTCGCTCGCGCGCCAGTTCGCCACCCCTTGGTTGTAACGTGGGGTTCTGTAGGAATTCGGGGTGGGGGGCCGGGGCGGGGGTCGTGGGCAGAGCCCCGCCCCGCGCCAGCCTGGCAGGGGATTCACGCGAGGGAGTTGGCCGCCCTGACGCTCGGTTGACAGTCACCCCCTTGCGTCGCCCCAGGCAAAACAGGAGCGTCACCCCGAATTCCGTTGAGCGATTCAGTACTTCAGTACTTCCCTCTTTATTGAGCAGTATCTGGTGGAGCCGGGGACTGTACAGGCTCAGTTCTGCCATCATACAAATTCACTAGGACTTCACTCACAAGCATTGTATTTAGGGTATGTGGATTAATGACAGCAATTCCATGCAAATATCTTATTGGAAAACCATCCGGTCCGGATCCCAAATCACAACTACCCCCCCCTTGACTTCATAGTGTCCCTTGGACCGCAAGCCTTCCTAAAACATTTCCAGAGCTAGCACACCCCCTAATGCAGACTCTTATGCTGTTGCTTGTGATCTCAGCTGCGCCTGAAGCTCCGGAGTCCACATGCCTTGGATGCTGGGCCGTGTTGATTCGTGCCGCGACTTCAACTTGACCACCTTTCGCCCCGTGGAGTTCCGCAGCCTTAAAGCCTGGATGAGAATGGTCTCTGCCTCCTGATTCTTCACATCCACCACCCTCTCCCTCCCGTTCACTGCATGGCGTAGCGTGGCACGGGCCGGGAGGAGGGCAGAACGTGGGGTTGGAACATGAATCAGTGCGGCAACCAGCATGGCAGTTAGGGGAAAGTGGTGAGGGATAAGTGTGACAAAGATATGCACATGCACATGCCAGCACACACATGCATGCACATGCGCTCCCGTACACAGAAAAACGCACATGCACACGCACACAGACACACATACACACGCACATACCGTATTGTGCATGCAGGTTTGGGTGCTTGCCCCTGTTAACAACGGCCTCTACTGCCAGCTGCGGATTGCCCTCTTTGAATTGCGGCAGGAGGGATGCCACAAATTCCCTGCAGCATGTGCAAGCAGGCAGGCAGGCAGAGGGAACGTGAGGGGACGGCAGTGAGGAGGAGTGTGAAGGGGGCACCAGTGCGACAGTCTCCACCGCCAGACGCGGATTGCCCTCTTGGAACTGCAGCACGAGGGAGGCCACAAACTCCCTGGCACAGGCAGACCAGAAGATGCCACAGCACAGAAACGTTACTGCAAAGGGATCATATGTATCGCCAGCTGCAATATGTTAACGGATATGTATGTGGAATGAAACAGTTCTCACTAGGCGTCTCAATATAAAGAAAAGGGAGACTTCTGAGGCGACTCGAAAGTCACTGCAGGAGAAAAAGAGGGTGAGAATGAATCCAGCTGGAGAAGAAAAATGAGACGACTCCTGCTGTTAAGGAGTGGACCCGTGTTTTGAGTCGACTCAAAAAACGAGAGGCAAAATGAGACGACTCCTGCTGTGAAGGAGTAGACCCCTCTGCTGTGGTACAAATGGGAGAAGGCAGGAAGACACACTATCGCAGGTGGAGTGGAGTGGAGTAAAGGGTTGAAGTGGGTTCTGAGGACACTCAAAAGCCCACCTGCAACAAGAGGAACAAGCAAGGTGCGCATCACATGCTGGGGATTGGCCCCTGGGTGATTGCAGTAGGAGAAATGGATCCTCACTGTTTCTGGAATCGATTCAGAAATCAAAGTTCCGAAATACGTCAGAGGTACAAACTCCCTACACTACACCATACCGCCCTCCACTATACCTCTCTCCACCATACCGCGCGTGGCTGTTGACTCGCGGCGCGTCGAAAGTCGCACGCGCGTGCGTGTGAACCGTCCCCGAATCGCGAGCACGGAAGGGGCTCTAGTGAGGGCTCAGGCCACTCTGATCGATCGAGAATATGCTTGTCTCAGCGCGCACACGGAACTCACGCGCTCAGAGAGGGCGCTCAAGGAGAGCGCTCAGGGTGATCAGGGCGCTCAGGGCGATAACTCAGGGCACCTCGGGGCAACCCAGGGCACCTCAGGGTGGATCCAAAGCAAGGAGCGAGGGCTCAGGGCACTCTAATCATTCGAGGGAATCGCAGATCCGAAGCAGCATCGTGGTTACGGGCAACGGCTGGTTTCGAATGATGAAACGAACGGGAAAATGCTGCTTGCTTTAAATAAGCGCAACGGGATACCGAAGGCGCATCTCTCTTTCGAATAAAGGCCCACCTCGCGCCGCGGCTACTGCCGGAGAAGTCACAGTGGTTGACGACAAGCCGTCGGAGCTGCCACACTCCTCGCACCGCCATCTTGTAACGAAACCACTCTTAACGCGGAACCCTTGCGCCAGGGTACGTAACGGCAACGGTCGCGTGGGAAGGGAACGTCACTACAGGGCAAGTCGCGATCGCAAACTAATCAGCTGCGCGAGAGCTGCAAACGAACTACTGGCGAAGACCGCGACGCGTGGAGCAGATGGGAAAGGGAAGGCGTGGGAGGGGAGAACAATGACGGGCGGTTATTATTTCACACATATTTCCCTCTTTCCACCTTTCCTTCGGCCCTCCTCTTCTTCTCCAACTCTTCTCTCCTTAGGGCGCGTCACCTCGAATTTCGAACAGAGCCCCTTGTTCGAACAGGCGACAAGTTACCTACATCGCAAAATCTCGCAATACATACATTGCAATACATCCAGAGCTGTCACATCCAGCACGAAGGATTTCACGTATGGTGTTCGAATGAGGCCGTTCGGATGTTTTGCAGGATAAGCGCCCACGACGCCCGCGAACAGCACGAAAAATGTTTCCGGGTATCTATGTACTGCTTTGTAATGTTCGTAATGCAATCAAAACCTTTTGGCGATTGTTAAGTGACGTCGCACGGTGGGCGACGCTGCATTTTCGAACACACCTGTCACTTCATGTGACACTCTGTCACCTTTCGCCAGATTCTCGTCTCTTGTTCGAACACCAAAATGGTGGGGTTTGGGCACCGAAAAAAAATGACAGCGTTCGAATTTTGGGTACTTGCTTCAGAGGTGACGCGCCCTTATCATCCTTGTTCCGTACACGTGTTCCCTCTCTCAATATGGGATGAGCGCATTATCTTGATAGGATAGTAATCCGTTAGAAATATAATGTGAAAACTTGGGTAAACTCATGTTCAAATGATTTGTACAGACCTTAGTAGAAGCAAAACAGAAATGGCTTCATTACTGTTATTGATCGTGTATTAAAAAGGAACAAAAAAACCGCATGGAAATAATGATTTGTGAGGGTTTGAACGAACCGAACTCCACACGAGAAAAAATGCCCCCAAACTCTCACACAATTCGACTCTTCCACTTGTTTGCCGGTCTGGCAATGACTTGTCGATTCATGTTGTTATCGAAGCTCACTTATAACCTTATATGTACATTGCAATCATTCAGCGTTTCGCAGTGACTAGGCAAAAAACCATGAAAAGCAAGCAGCAAAGAATGAACATGCCACAGCTGGATACAGCATACAAGTGTATCACATCACAGTGTTTTTCTCAGCAGTGGATGCCGCGCGGGCTTGTGCAGCCTAGATGCTATGAGCTCCTCAACCGCTATCCTCCTCACCGTGTGAAAGTCAATGTCCGCGTACCGACCCCTGTACGACACAGCATGGGAGAATCAGCAGGGTGTGTGAGTAAACATAAGTATCCTTTGTGCAGGCTTGAGGCAATCAGCCCCTCCACCGCTATCCTCCTCACCGTGTGAAAGTCAATGTCCACGTACCGACCCCTGCAAGAAACAGCATGGGAGCGCCAGCAGAGAGGGTAACCAGTATCAGTATGTGAGTGAACTCAAGTATCTGCTCTGTGGAGTGTCGCTGCAATATGTTCCTCCACTGGTATCCTCCTCACAGTGTGAAGGTCAATTTCTGCGTAGCAGCCCCTGAAAGAAGCAGCACGGGAGAACCAGCAGCAGCGGACCAATGCAGGTGAAGAATGTAACCATTCAAAGGAAAAGAATGTGGAACTGATATGAAGTGGCACTTTGTGTCTTGACAGTGAGCTTGGTTCACGAGAAGCAGTGAATGGGCCTTCGTCGACTCAAAACACAGCTTCATGGGAGTTGGCACTTAGTGGCTTGACAGCAATGTTGGCGCACGAGAAGCAGTAAATGAACCCTCTGACTCGACTCACCAGAAGTGATGTTTGGACCAATCAGAAGCCGGGAAGGCCGGGCTGGTCAGGCCGTGGAGGATGCGGGAAACGGCTCGCGCGTTGACAGGTGGCGCATCGGGATTGGCTTGTTGGCAGCGCAGAAACACCTGGAGATTGGAGGAAAGAGAAGGACAGGTGGAAGATGTGGGAGATTGGCATGACTATGGATGTGTGAGATTGGCATGACTATGGATGTGTGAGATTGGCATGACTATGGATGTGTGAGATTGGCATGACTATGGATGTGTGAGATTGGCATGACTATGGATGTGTGAGATTGGCATGACTATGGATGTGTGAGATTGGCATGACTATGGATGTGTGAGATTGGCATGACTATGGATGTGTGAGATTGGCATGACTATGGATGTGTGAGATTGGCATGACTATGGATATGTGAGATTGGCATGACTATGGATGTGTGAGATTGGCATGACTATGGATGTGTGAGATTGGCATGACTATGGATGTGTGAGATTGGCATGACTATGGATGTGTGAGATTGGCATGACTATGGATGTGTGAGATTGGCATGACTATGGATGTGTGAGATTGGCATGACTATGGATGAGTGAGATTGGCATGACTATGGATGTGTGAGATTGGCATGACTATGGATGTGTGCATGGGTGTGAGCGTGAAAGCAAGCATGCAAGTGTGTGGGTGAGCATTTGTATGAAGAACTGCACACACCTCCATGCCCCCCTGTAAATGCCTCCCACCTTGATGTCACTCAACCTTATGTCACTCACCGTTACCTCTATTTCCCACTCACTTTGATGTCACTGCGGAGGAATTGACTGATGAGAGGCAAACCCCGAACGAAGCCGGTCACAAGCCCGATGGTGCATGCACAGGCAGGGGAAGGAGGAGAGCAGGTATGGAGACACGTTCCACAGAGTCAGTACGAAGGTAGCAGAATATGTGTTTAGAGCTTTATGCACATGTCAGGTGTGTCTGCATGCAAGTGTTTAAGCATGCAAGTGTTTAAGCATGCAAGTGTTTAAATGCAAGTGTTTAAGCATGCAAGTGTTTAAGCATGCATGTGGCGCAACCATACACATGCGTGCACTCATCGTCCACACACTCCTGCATGCATGCATACATTGTATTTTTGTGCATTCTAGTGTGTGTCCATGCGCGTGCGGCCATTGCTCACACGTGGCTGAAACAATCATGTGCAAGCAAGGGTGTGTGCAAATCACAGGTAACCAGCTATCTTACCTCGCAGTGGTGATAGGAGCAGGAGCAGCAAGCAGCGGCGGCACGGACCCATCTGGGGAGTCAAAGTAAGCCGCGATGCAGCGCTGCAGGAGGGCTGTCTGCCTGCCCGCCTGCGATCTGCTGCTCTCCGGTTCAGCTGCCCGTTGTGGTGCTGCTGGTGGTGCTGCTGCTGGCGTTGCTTGTGGTGCTGCTGGTGGTGCTGCTGCTGGCGTTGCTGGTGGTGCTGCTGGTGGTGCTGCAGGTTGTGCTGCTGGGAGCTGGGCTGCTGCGACTGCAACAGCGTACATGGCATCAAGCTTGCCCACCTGATGGTGCAGGAAGGGGGCCACAGAGTTGTTTTTTCAGAATTGTCAGGAGCCACCTTGCATGCATGCACACACAACGCTGCGACTGCTACAGCGTACATGGCATCAAGCCTGCCCACCTGATGGCGGAGGAAGGGGGTACAAACGGTTGTTTATAATGTCACCGAATATGTACGTTTGTGCATATAAGGTGCCAGTATGATTGTGGTGTAGAAAGGGTGTAGTAATGTGTTGTATTTGTTGTATGCAGGCTCAAGGATGGGTAGGTGGGAGGCTGGGAAATTGACGCGAAGTTGGTAGGAGAACACCAGGGGGTGAAATCCTCGCGACCAATGGGAACAAACCCAACCCAGGCTCAAGCCGCACATTGAGAAATGCACGGCTCGAGCCAGGGACAGGTAAGTTCACTCTCACACACACACACAATGCTTTCTGTTTGTTATCCTTTCGTATAGTGGACAGTTGTTACCTCAGATTTGCCTACAGGTGGCACACCACTCAGAGAGGACCTTTGAGGTGAGAGTTACCACTCTTTCATGAGAGTGGCTGAGGCAGCAGAAGGAACGAAGGAGAGGCAGAGCAGGAGAATCAAGGCAGAGAAGAGCATAGCGTTAACTCCGACAATAAAGACTCGTCAGAAGTCACCTCCTTGCATGCACACACACGATGCTGCGACTGCCACAGAGAGCGCATGGCATGAAGCTGTGCAAACCAGGTGGGGGGTGTGTTGGTGCGTGTCTTGACTCAGAAATCTCAAAGCTGGACTTAGGCTGCTGCAGTGGCCACATCGGCCAGTCAGTGGCGATTTGCCATAGTGGAGTTACTTTTGAGAATTCTCAAAAGTGCCTGGTACTCCCGGGTACCCACTCGAAGTAGCCTAGTTCACGCGGTAACGTAACATGCGTTTGTATCACTGTTGACCTTTTGACAGCCGCCAGTCGGTGACAGATGGATGCAGCTAGAGAGCAGAGGCTCTTGGGGGCGCGATAGAGGAGTTGCTGTGAACCAGCTCACACTGCTTTAAACAGGACTAGCTCACGTTGGCAGCCTAACATGCGAGCGACTCACCGTTGATCGCTCAACAGCCGCCAGTCGGTGGCAGATGGATGCAGCTAGAGAGGAGAGACTCTTGGGGCGAGACATGAGCTGCACGCACAAGGAAGGTTCCAGGAACTCGCACACGATCTCCCCACACCTCTGCTTGGGATAAGGGGAGAGAGGAAGAATCGAGGGGAGAAGGCGAAGGTGAAAGAGGAGAGGGAGAAAATAAGAAGAATCAAATCGATTTGTCACCTCACATAATTGGTGATGTTTCAACCACCCACCCTCTTACCTGTCTACCTTAGGCTACCCCCAACCCATGACATACCTGCAGGTCTCTCAACGCAGCAAGTAGCATGTTGAGCGGCATGACTATGAATCGATTTTATAACCAGATTTATCCGTCAGAAAAAAGAAGATGCTTGACTTACTACTTGTGTACCTTAGCGGGATCGATCCCCCACCCATGGCATACCTGCAGGTCTCTCAACGCAGAAAGCAGCATGGGCAGCGGCATGCGCGCATGATTGGCCAGCGGTGCCAGCTGGATGGTGTACCGCCCATTGCGGGGGGTGGGGTTAGTCCTGAGGGAAGGCAGGGGGAAGGCAGGGGGGAGGCAGGGGGGAGGCAGGGGGAAGGCAGGGGGGAGGCAGGGGGAAGGCAGGGGGGAGGCAGGGGGAAGGCAGGGGGGAGGCAGGGGGAAGGCAGGGGGGAGGCAGGGGGAAGGCAGGGGGGAGGCAGGGGGAAGGCAGGGGGGAGGCAGGGGGAAGGCAGGGGGGAGGCAGGGGGAAGGCAGGGGGGAGGCAGGGGGAAGGCAGGGGGGAGGCAGGGGGAAGGCAGGGGGGAGGCAGGGGGAAGGCAGGGGGGAGGCAGGGGGAAGGCAGGGGGGAGGCAGGGGGAAGGCAGGGGGGAGGCATGGGGAAGGCAGGGGGAAGGCAGAGTGCGGAGACCAGAGGAGAACATGGGGGCCTGAACAGCAGCAGTGCCAGTTGCAGAGCCAGTGGCAGTGGCGTGGGCAGCAGCATGCATACGTGATTGGGCAGCGGTACCAGCTGGATGGTCTACCGCCCGTTGCGAGGGTTTGGGTTGGTCCTGAGGGAAGGCGGAGGGAAGGGAGGGCAGACAAGAGAGGTGAATATCAAGGCATGGGTAACGGCAGTGGTATAGGCAGATGCCGATGCCGTGCACAAGAGAATGCCGGAGGGTTTACTGTCCATTGTGGGGGCTTGGGTTGGTCCTGAGGGAAGGCAGAGGGGGAGTGGGGCCGAAAGGGAGAACAACCCTTGGCATGATGGTGGAAGCAAGGTGGGTAGCCCAACGATGCCCCTGGAAGGCAGGCATAAGGGGGCGATGGGAGGTGAGTGTGAGCGGAGGGGGAAGACGGGAGGTGAATGCTACGGGAGAAAGGATCATGCTGAATGTAAAAGGAGGGGGGAAAGGGGTGGTGGAATGGGCGGTGGCATGTGTGGTGGCACGGGCAGCAGTTCCAGGCCCAACAAGGAGGATGGTTAGGAAAGGGAGAGGACTGGTGTAGATGGCACAGCGGGTGCTCGGGACAACGCGATCCGACTGAAAGGCAACCACTGAATGACCTGACCTGATTGGGTCGAGCCCACTACAGGAGCGACCCGACCCGGCCAACGTTACAGGGCGAACAGTGTGCCATGTACAGGTTGGGTTACAGATGGATGGTGCAGGTGGGCTTTTGAGGCGCCTCAAAACAGGGCGAACATGCGCCCTGTACTAAGAGGGATGGTGCAGGTGGGGTGATGCAAGAGGATGGTGCAGGTGGGGTGATGCAAGAGGATGGTGCAGGTGGGGTGATGCAAGAGGGATGGTGCAGGTGGGGTGATGCAAGAGGATGGTGCAGGTGGGGTGATGCAAGAGGGATGGTGCAGGTGGGGTGATGCAAGAGGGATGGTGCAGGTGGGGTGATGCAAGAGGATGGTGCAGGTGGGGTGATGCAAGAGGATGGTGCAGGTGGGGTGATGCAAGAGGATGGTGCAGGTGGGGTGATGCAAGAGGATGGTGCAGGTGGGGTGATGCAAGAGGATGGTGCAGGTGGGGTGATGCAAGAGGATGGTGCAGGTGGGGTGATGCAAGAGGATGGTGCAGGTGGGGTGATGCAAGAGGATGGTGCAGGTGGGGTGATGCAAGAGGATGGTGCAGGTGGGGTGATGCAAGAGGATGGTGCAGGTGGGGTGATGCAAGAGGATGGTGCAGGTGGGGTGATGCAAGAGGATGGTGCAGGTGGGGTGATGCAAGAGGATGGTGCAGGTGGGGTGATGCAAGAGGATGGTGCAGGTGGGGTGATGCAAGAGGATGGTGCAGGTGGGGTGATGCAAGAGGATGGTGCAGGTGGGGTGATGCAAGAGGATGGTGCAGGTGGGGTGATGCAAGAGGATGGTGCAGGTGGGGTGATGCAAGAGGATGGTGCAGGTGGGGTGATGCAAGAGGATGGTGCAGGTGGGGTGATGCAAGAGGATGGTGCAGGTGGGGTGATGCAAGAGGGATGGTGCAGGTGGGGTGATGCAAGAGGATGGTGCAAGCTGGCTTACGCGAGAATGGCCTTCACAAGAGGAACCTTTTTGGAAAGTACCTCCACTGGGGTCTGCCAGGTGAACAGGAGGGAGATGGGGATCACGAGATTATTGAACACGAGGCATTAAGGGAATCGAGCACCAGTGGACTAGAGCAGTGGGGATCAGTGGTAGTGGTGAAATCACTTTTGATTATTGTCAAAAGTAGTAGTGGTATTGTTGAGCATTAAGGATCAGGCAATGAAGAGTACAGGGCGAACGGTTTCGAAGAGCGGAAAGCAGGCAGCAACCAGACGATTCTTTTGAAGTCTCAAAACTACACGTACCATGCGCATGAATTTAAAAGAAATACAAGCTGTACTTGATGACATGCGAGGAGGCAGGCAGAAAGAAGCAGATGGGTGTTGAGACGCTTCGGAATGTACAATCAATAGTTTGTGGAAGGAGAGGAGCCACAATAAAGCAGGGGAGTTTCTAATTATCAAATCTAGAAACCGAAGAAGCTATACGGGCCTTACAAACTAAGAGAAGGCAGGAAGAAGAAGAATCATATGTTAGAGTTGACATGTCTCAGAACCAGCACCCGTACCTTATGGAAGGAGAGCAGGCAGGAAGCCGGTGCCTCAGGCATCATTCGCAGGTAAGCAGCGGCAGCAGGGGGTGTGGGTGATGAAAGTGGTGCTAATGATGACAATGGTTCTGGTGGTAGCGATGATGCTGGTGTGGCTGGTGGTGATGATGACGATGGTGTTGAGGGTGGAAGTTTTGAATCCGAAGCAAGAGTTGCTGATGGTGCTGGTGACTCGCAGAACACGAGAATGGTTTCCATGACCTGATGGGAAGGGGGAGAAGCAAGCGAAAAAGCAGAGGTAAAAGATGCAGGGTGTGGGAGGGGGAGGAGGAGGAAGGAAGGGGAAACCATGTTTCGGGTTGCTGAAAAAGAAATCTCAATTCACACGGAGTTGGATAGAAGACAGAGTTGTGAGCCACCGACTGCACCTCCTCTGCCACAAGTAAAAAACTTTTGAGGCGCCTCAAAAGGCAACCTCTGTCATGAGGGAAAAACTCAAACTTGATGGAGAGTTTGTGACGTTTCAGTATTGTGAGCAGATCAGACTTTTTTCCAATGAATGACCGCTTGCACTGCGGGCGGGCTGGCTGCAACCATGAGCGCTGCCTCACTCCATTCCACCTCTGGCTATATCCCAGTCTGAAAAAAGACTGATACACTGCCAGAGGTGGAGCTGCCACTGCCAGAGGTGGAGCTGCCACTGCCAGAGGTGGAGCTGCCACTGCCAGAGGTGGAGCTGCCACTGCCAGAGGTGGAGCTGCCACTGCCAGAGGTGGAGCTGCCACTGCCAGAGGTGGAGCTGCCACTGCCAGAGGTGGAGCTGCCACTGCCAGAGGTGGAGCTGCCACTGCCAGAGGTGGAGCTGCCACTGCCAGAGGTGGAGCTGCCACTGCCAGAGGTGGAGCTGCCACTGCCAGAGGTGGAGCTGCCACTGCCAGAGGTGGAGCTGCCACTGCCAGAGGTGGAGCTGCCACTGCCAGAGGTGGAGCTGCCACTGCCAGAGGTGGAGCTGCCACTGCCAGAGGTGGAGCTGCCACTGCCAGAGGTGGAGCTGCCACTGCCAGAGGTGGAGCTGCCACTGCCACTGCCACTCGGCTTTGCTGTAAGTAACTCCTGCTCTCCCAGTCAGTCTAACAGCGGAAGCTGCTGAATGCTCTCAGCCTCCATCCCCCACCCCTGTATTCAACCCCCATCTCTCCCTTCTTCCTTCCCTCACCTCAGGGCGAATGTCAAGGGACTGAGCCGTTTTCTCCTTGGGGATGGTTTGGAACACAGGAATCTGCACTGCTGCTTCAGGTGATCCTTCAGGTGATTCTTCAAGTGCTACAGGCAGTTGGTAGTTGCCAAAGACGAGAGAGAGGAAGGCTGCTACAGTGCTTTCCGATACTCCGTCCCTTCAGGTGGGGGAAAATAGGGTTAGATGGGGGAATATGGGGTGAGATGGGGGAATATGGGGTGAGATGGGGGAATATGGGGTGAGATGGGGGAATATGGGGTGAGATGGGGGAATATGGGGTGAGATGCGGGAATATGGGGTGAGATGCGGGAATATGGGGTGAGATGGGGGAATATGGGGTGAGATGGGGGAATATGGGGTGAGATGCGGGAATATGGGGTGAGATGGGGGAATATGGGGTGAGATGGGGGGATATGGGGTGAAATGGGGGAATATGGGGTGAGATGGGGGAATATGGGGTGAGATGGGGGAATATGGGGTGAGATGGGGGAATATGGGGTGAGATGGGGGAATATGGGGTGAGATGGGGGAATATGGGGTGAGATGGGGGAATATGGGGTGAGATGGGGGAATATGGGGTGAGATGCGGGAATATGGGGTGAGATGCGGGAATATGGGGTGAGATGGGGGAATATGGGGTGAGATGGGGGAATATGGGATGAGATGCGGGAATATGGGGTGAGATGGGGGAATATGGGGTGAGATGGGGGGATATGGGGTGAAATGGGGGAATATGGGGTGAGATGGGGGAATATGGGGTGAGATGGGGGAATATGGGGTGAGATGGGGGAATATGGGGTGAGATGGGGGAATATGGGGTGAGATGGGGGAATATGGGGTGAGATGGGGGGAATATGGGGTGAGATGGGGGAATATGGGGTGAGATGGGGGAATATGGGGTGAGATGGGGGAATATGGGGTGTGATGGGGGAATTTGGGGTGAAATGGGGGAAGATGGGGAGGGATGGGGGAATACGGGATGGGATGGGGGAATATGGGGTGAGAAGGGGGAATATGGGGTGAGATGGGGGAAGATGGGGTGAGACGGGGAATATGAGGGTGAGACGGGGAATATGGGGTGAGATGGGGGAATATGGGGTGAAATGGGGGAAGATGGGGTGGGATGGGGGAATACGGGGTGGGATGGGGGAATATGGGGTGAGATGGGGAAATATGGGGTGAGATGGGGGAATATGGGGTGAGATGGGGGAATATGGGGTGAGATGGGGGAATATGGGGTGTGATGGGGGAATTTGGGGTGAAATGGGGGAAGATGGGGTGGGATGGGGGAATACGGGGTGGGATGGGGGAATATGGGGTGAGATGGGGGAATATGGGGTGAAATGGGGGAAGATGGGGTGAGACGGGGAATATGAGGGTGAGACGGGGAATATGGGGTGAGATGGGGGAATATGGGGTGAAATGGGGGAAGATGGGGTGGGATGGGGGAATACGGGGTGGGATGGGGGAATATGGGGTGAGATGGGGGAATATGGGGTGAGATGGGGGAATATGGGGTGAGACGGGGAATATGGGGTGAGATGGGGGAATATGGGGTGTGATGGGGGAATTTGGGGTGAAATGGGGGAAGATGGGGTGGGATGGGGGAATACGGGGTGGGATGGGGGAATATGGGGTGAGATGGGGGAATATGGGGTGAAATGGGGGAAGATGGGGTGAGACGGGGAATATGAGGGTGAGACGAGGAATATGGGGTGAGATGGGGGAATATGGGGTGAAATGGGGGAAGATGGGGTGGGATGGGGGAATACGGGGTGGGATGGGGGAATATGGGGTGAGATGGGGGAATATGGGGTGAGATGGGGGAATATGGGGTGAGACGGGGAATATGGGGTGAGATGGGGGAATATGGGGTGTGATGGGGGAATTTGGGGTGAAATGGGGGAAGATGGGGTGGGATGGGGGAATACGGGGTGGGATGGGGGAATATGGGGTGAGATGGGGGAATATGGGGTGAAATGGGGGAAGATGGGGTGAGACGGGGAATATGAGGGTGAGACGGGGAATATGGGGTGAGATGGGGGAATATGGGGTGAAATGGGGGAAGATGGGGTGGGATGGGGGAATACGGGGTGGGATGGGGGAATATGGGGTGAGATGGGGGAATATGGGGTGAGATGGGGGAATATGGGGTGAGACGGGGAATATGGGGTGAGATGGGGGAATATGGGGTGTGATGGGGGAATTTGGGGTGAAATGGGGGAAGATGGGGTGGGATGGGGGAATACGGGGTGGGATGGGGGAATATGGGGTGAGATGGGGGAATATGGGGTGAAATGGGGGAAGATGGGGTGAGACGGGGAATATGAGGGTGAGACGGGGAATATGGGGTGAGATGGGGGAATATGGGGTGAAATGGGGGAAGATGGGGTGGGATGGGGGAATACGGGGTGGGATGGGGGAATATGGGGTGAGATGGGGGAATATGGGGTGAGATGGGGGAATATGGGGTGAGACGGGGAATATGAGGGTGAGACGGGGAATATGAGGGTGAGACGGGGAATATGAGGGTGAGACGGGGAATATGAGGGTGAGACGGGGAATATGAGGGTGAGACGGGGAATATGAGGGTGAGACGGGGAATATGAGGGTGAGATGGGGAACATGGGGTGAGATAGGGTGGCATGGGGGTGAGATAGGGTGGCATGGGCAAAAGTGGGTTCTCATGTTGACATAGAAGGTGTTTGTAAGCAGGCCAGTCCAGTCTGGTACTAAAGAGTGTCCAGTCAGAGAGTTTACTATGAGAAAGAGACATGCCACCACAATATGAGGAGTGTCATAGTGGTGCTCCTGAACGTTGAGAAATAGCGTCAGGTGTGTCGTTGACGAAAAGTGACACAAACGAGCCAAGCACTGACTGAGAACGAGTGTGCCACAAACGCTTGTGCCATTAACGAGTCCATCACTAACGAGTGTGCAAGGCTGCGCAGGCGAAGGTAGCAGGGGCGGTCCACAAAGAGGTGGCAGAAGGCGGGCTGCCCGTTGCGCCCCGCCCGGCCTATCTCCTGTGAAGGTGGAGCGTGGAGGGGAGTGACGTTGGTGGGGAGAGACGAGAGAAGAGAGAAGAGGGCATGCGAAGGTAGCAGCGGCAGTCCGCAAAGAGATGGCAGACGTGGGAGATTGGAGGGGAGAGACAGGAGAGAGAAGTGAGATGAGCATGGGCGGAGGTGGAGAGGGGTGACTCTTGCACCGCGCACAGCCTACCATCCCTCCTGTGTGAGAAAAGAGTGGAGAGAGGGTTGGACTAAAGGTGGTGGAATTGCGGGACTAAACAATTCTACGTTCCAATTATCTCATACATTCATAGTTCATCCCATGATCCTGTCATCCAACCCTCATCACTAACGTCCACAAAACACTGCACCGCAACGCACCGCACTATACTGCATCATATTACATCACACCGCATCATACCTGCACGTATTGTTCTGGGCTGCGGGGAATGGAGTAATGCACAACCTGATTGGGGGGATCGGAAGGGAGAAAAGTGGCTTCTGAGGCGCCTCAAAAAGTAGTGGTGCAAGGGAAGCACTGGGAGAATACGGGAGTCTGGAAACACAGGGCAATAACACTAACGAACCGAGCCAAAACGAAGAAACAATGCTGCAGCCGAAGTGCGCCTACCTAGAGACAAGAGGAAATGTATGGGAGAAAAGAGTGGAGGGAAAATGTATGGCAAGCAAACCAGTATTTCCCCGCCTTCAAAAATCACATAAACCCACCTATATATATAGCATATGCATGAAACTATAGTCCTCCATAAGCAACCTCACTCACTCATCTATGAATGAGATTCCCCATCCAAATTTATAGTCACATCCATACAACCCCATCTGCACTCAGGTATTAATATGAGCCCTGTCCAAGCCCATGCCAAACGCCACACCAGTGTAGCGACAGCTTCGCCCACATGCATAAACCCATGCACATAGCTCCATCCCATCCATAAGCCACTCCACTCACCGCTCCAACATCAGCCTTATCCAGGCCCATGCCAAACGCCAGTGTCGCCACAGCCTGCAGCACAGAGGCAATGAGAACGAGTTTGGCTTGGCAAGTGGTTACACAAGTGGTGTGAATGATGCTCAAATGGCACAGCCTGCAGATCGGATTTTTGAGTCTGCTAAGTGTTGCCACAACCTGCAGAACACCACAGAATGCAACTGGATAGTACACGCAGCAGAGGCAGCAGAGGCAGCAGAGGCAGCAGAGGCAGCAGTGCACGCACCACTCGTAGCTTGTTGGCTGTGAAGCGCTGCAGGATGCGTGTCCTCTCGCCTGCTTGCAACCCACCGTGGTAGCTCTGGAGGTAGGTGGCATGGGAAGGGAAGGACGAGAAGAGAGGAGAAGAGAGGAGAAGAGAATAGAGGAGAGGAGAAGAGAGGAGAAGAGAATAGAGGAGAGGAGAAGAGAGGAGAAGAGAATAGAGGAGAGGAGAAGAGACGAGAAGATGACAGAGCAGAGAGAACATGAGACATATGAATGAAGCGACGTAAGCACCAGAGCAAGGAGGAGGTTGGGGATTGGGGCAACATAGTGAAAAGCAAGCGGAATCTGGGAGCTTGCAGAACTCATCGGCAGGTGGAGCTGAGCTTTACTGGAACCCGTTTTCCATTCTGAGTTTTACACTCTCGCTAGAGTCACTGGAGCTGCTGGGCAATCATGAATGCAAACCTCATCTGCAAGTCCTCCTCTCACTCGACTCACCCTAGCTGCGATTTAGAGACACATTTGAGAGGTCTCAAACGTGACCCTCTTACCACCCAACTCACCCGAGCTGCGATCCGGTTGTCTCGAAGAATGCGCGCCAAGTCATCAGCCTCCCACTGGCAGGGGAGGGGAGAGAAGAGAGGGAAACAGATTAAGATTCGACTGAGAGAGTTACAGGGGCAAGCAAAGACATGGCGGCTCTTGATTTGGCTCAAGAGATGGCAATGGAAAGGAGAGGGAAACAACATGTTGTGAGCGGGTCTCCAGAGAATTTCATTTCATGCCACTACTGTCAGCATGTGCAACTGGAACGAACAGACACTGGCTCCCTAGACCTGGGGAGGTATCAGGTCGTGACACAAGTCAGCCAGAATGCCGGGCATTCTGGCACTACACACGGTGATTGTCTACTGCTCTGCTCTGCCCTTTGGATCCACACAGTCAACCACGTGGGAAGAGCAGCTTCATCCACTAAAGCCAACTGCCTGCTCTACCTTGCTGCTGCCCCGTTAACCTGCATAGACCCCTCACATCACAGCGGCTCCCACCTGGGAAGGAGCACCCACCTGGAAGGAGCAGTAGACGATGATGCTGCGGGCAGAAGAGAAGGGAGGAGCCGCAAGAAGATCCACCAGTGCCCGCTGCCTGCTGTGCCCTGCTGCTGCAGCCCCGCCCCCCCACTTGTTCTCTCCCACCACATCAGCAGGTCCTGAACCAGTCCCAGGCACAAGTCCTTTGGCCCCGGTTATTGACACTGAGAGGTGCAGGTTCGGCCGCACCACTCCGCGCCGAATCACGCCGCCCGGCGGGATACCCAGCGCTGCGATGAGCGATGACGTGGCGAGGCGCGTGGCGGTGGCAGTGATGGCAAGAATGCAAGGCCTGCGGGGAATGTTACTACTGTTAGTGTTGTCACCACCAGGTAGACAATCATTGGTACCCTCCACATCAGAAGCAGCAGCAGCAACAGCAGCAGCACCACCACCACCATCTGCAAAAGAGGGATCAGCAGAAGAAGCCTTGGTGTCTGATGCTTCTTCCGCTGCTGCTGCTGCAGCCTTTCTTTCTTCAGGTGCTGCTGCCTGCCTCTCCAGTAGACCGCTGGAGAGCAGGATGGAGGAGAGGCGCAGATAGGCCGAGCGGAAGTTGTGTGACCTGCCGTGTGGGGACGAGAGAGTTGGAGAGGGACAAAGAAGCGTGGGATTGGCGGCATTGACTGAGAGTTGAAGAGAGGTTAAGAGAGGTGAGGAGAGGTGAAGAGGGGTGATGAAAGGTGAAGACAGGAAGGAGAGGACGGCCACCAAAGAACCTGAAGGGACAGCTCGTTACAGACATCCCCCTACCAATCAGCGCACATCACAATGTATGTACCCATTCGCCCCTCCTTCCCACTCTTAAATGCAGTGGGTCTTGTCGAAGAAATTTGTCACTGAGAGGTAGAGATTGGCCTTTGGAATGACTTTTGAGTCGACTCAAAAAGTAGAGATTGGCTTTTGAAAATTTATTGAAAACATGATCACGACTCAGCTCTTCCAGGGTGACTGGAACCTAGAAAACCCAGCCCGCATGCATGCACCCATTCTCACCACTCTGAAATGCAGTGCGCCTCATCGAACACCACCAGCGACACGCCCTGGGGCAGGCTGGAGAGCAGGAGGAGGAAGGAGGGCGCAGCCAGGCGCTCAGGCGACACAAACAGCACCTTCAGCTCCCCTCCTCTGAGCCTCTCAATCACTGCACCGCTCTCACCGGGTGACTGTGAGACAGGGGGAGGCAGGGGGATGAGAGGGGTATGAGTGGGTTGGAAAGGGGGTTGGAGAGCAGAAGCAGGATGGACGGTGCTGTCAGGCGCTTGGGCGACACAAACAGCACCTTCAGCTCCCCTTCTCTGAGCCTCTCTATCACTGCACCGCTCTCACTGGGTGACTGTGTGGCAGGGGGGTGGGGTGTGGGGGCAGGACAGCAAGTGCAGGAGGGATGTTATGGCCAGGCGTTCGCCTTCTGAGTCGACTCAAAAGGTGTTATGGCCAGGCGTTCGCCTTCTGAGTCGACTCAAAAGGTGTTATGGCCAGGCGTTCGCCTTCTGAGTCGACTCAAAAGGTGTTATGGCCAGGCGTTCGCCTTCTGAGTCGACTCAAAAGGTGTTATGGCCAGGCGTTCGCCTTCTGAGTCGACTCAAAAGGTGTTATGGCCAGGCGTTCGCCTTCTGAGTCGACTCAAAAGGTGTTATGGCCAGGCGTTCGCCTTCTGAGTCGACTCAAAAGGTGTTATGGCCAGGCGTTCGCCTTCTGAGTCGACTCAAAAGGTGTTATGGCCAGGCGTTCGCCTTCTGAGTCGACTCAAAAGGTGTTATGGCCAGGCGTTCGCCTTCAGGCCCCCTCCCGCTCTCAGCCTCTTCCATGCGTTGCTCTCATGGGGTGACTGTGAGACAGTGGGGGGTGAGAGGGAGATGAGGGGGCTGGAAAAATGGGGAAGGAGGGATGCTGCTGCCAGGCGCGCAGGTGAGACAAGAGAGGGCATGTGGTCAGGGAGGGAGGCACATACCTGAAAGGATGCGAGTGGGCACCGGACAGCAGGGCGGCACGTTGCATAACCGCTACCAAAGGGCTGACGGCAAGAGTGAAGGTGACTTCTCAATTTTGTTTTCCGGCGAACCAGTCTACCTATGTATGTACACCTATGTATCTATCTACCAAGCGCCCACACACCTGGAAGGACGAGAGGAGGGCACCGGGCAGGCAGGGCGGCAGGTGCGCGAGCTGGTCTTGCATGAGCGCCACCAGTGGGCTGACCACTAGCGTGAGGCCCGGGAGGAGGAACGCTGGGAGCTGTCATGAGGAGGGTGGGTGGGTGGGGGAGGAAAGGTAAGGCAGGGCGGCAGGTGCGCGAGCTGGTCTTGCATGAGCGCCACTAGCGGGCTGACCACTAGCACCAGACCAGGGAGGAGGAAGGCTGGGAGCTGCGAGGGAGAGGAGTGGGGTTGCGGGGTTTGTGGGGGATTTGAGTGGGTGTCAAAGGGAGCACAAGACAAGGCACAGCGGCAGGTGTGCCAGCTGGTCTTGCATTAACGCCACTAGCGGGGCCGAGGAGGAGGAAGGCTGGGAGCTGTTAGGAGAGAAGGATTGGGAAGAGAAAAGGGATGGAAAGAGAGCAAGTGGCAGAAGCAGGCCGAGGTGCTGTTGGTTGATGTAGAGGGGTTCCGTGGCCAACTCTTGAGTCAACTCAAACGTCATCAGGCTGATACAAAGGACATGGGGAGTATGTGGTCTGTTTAATGGACATCAGGCTGAGGGACTTGGTGACAGTGACGGCTACCTGGTAACATAAGCGCCCACCTGGTAGCAGAGCGACTTCCCAGCGCCAGTTGGCAGCACGAGGAGCGTTGATTGGCCGCGCAGCACCCGTTGGATGGCCGCCACCTGTCCATCGCGGAACCGATCGAAGCCAAACACGTTCCGCAGCACCCTCAACAGATTGCCCTCCGAAGGGTCCCTTCCAGCTGCCTCCACCATCCCAGCTCTCTCCACTCTCTCAGCCCTCTCACTCATCTCCTCCTCTTCTCCCGCTCCTGTGTCCTCGCTTTTCCTCTTCTTCTGTACTCGTCTCTTGCCCTGTGTGGCTTTCTCCTCCTCGCCCTGGTCATCCCCCCCTTCCATCTCCTCGACCTCCTCTTCCTCCTCCTCCTCCTCCTTCCCCGCCTCTTTCTCCTGCTTCTCATCCTGGCTCCCTTTCCCATACACCCCGTTACCTCTGTCGTTCCGTGCCACTCCTCCCACTCTCCCCACCGTCCTCTCATTCTCCATTTGACGCACTTTGAGGGCTGCCCCTCCCTCCCTGGCCTCTCCCCTCTCTCCTTTCTCTCCTGCCCCTTCCAACCCCATCATCGCACCATCATCCATCCATCCACCCAAGCCCATCCCACACTCTCCCCCTTCCCCCGCCCCCCCTCCCTTCCCATTTTTCCTGTAACCCCCCTTCCTCCTCCCCCCTCCATACCCACCACGGAACCTCCCAAACCTACTCCCTCCACCATTCCTACTCCCGAACCTGCTCGTCTTGGTACCATTCCCAAACCTCTTCTTCCCACCCCTACCATTAATATTCAGGCGAACAAAGTTGTCTCTCCCTTGCAACCCAGGCCGGCCCTTAACACCCCTGCTACTGGTAAGACCATAACCTATCCGCCCTCGCCCACCACCAGTGGTACCTGCGCCGCTAGCAGCAGCCATCCTCCTCTGCTTCTTCCTCCTCTCAGCCTCTTTCTGTCGCAGGGCTTGCAGGGCTAAGGGGTTACCCCACCCATACTCCACTGCTGCTGCACTGCCGTTACCACCCCTGCCAACAGCAGCAGCAGTAGCAGCAGCAGGAGTAACAGGAGTAGCAGTAGCGGCAGCAGCAGCAGCACCACCACCACCACCGCCACCAACATTATCGGCAGCACCACTCAATCCCTTCCTTCGCTTCCTATCTTTTCTTATCGGCATCTTCCCCACCCTTCTCACACCACTTTCTCCCTTGGTCTTGCTGCGTGCATTTCTGCGGGCAGGCTTACCTGTTCCACTCTCACCCTCACGTGTGACTGTACCTGCTGTGACTCTATCGAATGCGACTCTATCTGTTGTATCTGCCTCGCTCCTCTCCTGCTTCTCTCCCTCCACCTCCTCACCCCCCATCTCCTCCTCCTCACTCTCACTGCTGCTGCTCCCTCCCCTCTCCTTCCCCCAATCAGAACCACTGTCACTCCCACTCTCGCTCCCACTCTCACTCTCACTTTCCTCCTCACTCCCGTCACTCCCAGACTCACTTCCCTTCCCCCTCTTACTACCGTTCTCCCCCTCTCTCCCTCCATCCCCTTTCTCCTCTCCCTCCAACCCATCCTCCTTTGCCTTCCGAACCGCCAGCCGGGTGACTCTTCTCCCACCCACTCTCTCCCCTGCACCCCCCTTGCCATCGTTACCTTGCTCCTCCCTCCTTTCCCCAGCTTCCGCATCCTCTTCACCATCGCTCTCCTCTGCTCTCACTCGCTTCCGTCCCTTCACCTTCACCACCTGCCTCCTACGTTGCCCCACTTCCCGACCCTCACTTCCCCCAACCTTCTTTCCTCTACTCCCAACTACCCTACCCACACGTCCGCTAGCCCCATCTCTCTCATTCTCAGCCCCATCATCCCTCTTCTCTTCACTCCCAATCCTCCCCCCACCCACAAGCCCACCGGCCCCTGCCAGCCGGCTCACAAGCTGTGCCTTTTTGCCAGATGTCGGCAGCCCATTGGCCAGCAAGGCAGCTCTCAACTGTACCACAGTCATGTGACTCGGATCAAATAATTCCGTTGCTCCACCTGCTCCAGCGGCTGCTGCTGATGGTGACGGTGGTAATGGTGCTGCTGGTAATGGTGGTAATGGTGCTGCTGGTGACGGTGGTAATGGTGCTGCTGGTAATGGTAGTAGTGGTGGTGTTGATGGTGCTTTTGCTGATGGTGATGGTTCTGATGGTGCTGCTAATTGTGCTGCTGCTGATGCTGCTGCCGCCCCTGATGCGTCTCTTGTGAATAGTGGTGCTGCTGATGCTGGTGGTTCTGAGGTTGCTGCTGGTGCTGGCAATGGTGATGGTAATGACGTTGCTGCTGCTGCTAATCCTGCTCCTTCTGAGCCAGGTACTGAGAATCGCACCGACACGCCAGCAGCAGACTCTGCTATTGGTGACACTGCTGCTACCCGTGTTTCTTCTGCCATTGTTGGTGATTGTCCTTCTTCTGAACCCACCCCTCGTTCCGTTACTGCTGCTGGCTGTGTGTCCATAGCTTCGTCATACGTCATTCGTGCCACACCTATATCAGCTCGTCCCTGCAACGCGTCAGTTTCTCTCCATGCCATGCCAGCCTCGCTTCGTGCCACGTCAGGTTTCACAAGTTCCACATCAGCCGCCTTTTGTGGCCCATCCCGACCTGCCAGCTCAGCAGCTTCACACCCGACTCTCCACCTCTTTCCCCATCTATCTATCCTCGTTACAAGCAGACTCGAGGGTGCAATACAGCCAAGCATGCCTACAGGACGAACAGGCGCTGCGAAGCTTTCGAACGCCTCCTCTGCTTCTCCCTCACCTACCGAAAATTTCTCCTCTTCTTCCTCTCCTTCCACTGCACTCCTTGCTTGCACCGCTCCCATCCCCACTCCCTCCACACTCACCAACCCCTCCCCTTCACTCAGCCTCTTCTTCTCGTCCTCCCTCACCCCTCCCCCTCCTGCTCCACCCGCCCTTTTCCGTTCTGCTCCTCCTTCCCCTCCCCCTCCCCCTCTCCCTCCCCCTCCCCCTCCCCCTCTCCCTCCCCCTCCCCCTCTCCCTCCCCCTCCCCCTCCCCCTCCGCCTCCGCCTCCATCTCCGCCTCCGTCTCCCCCTCCCCCTGTGCGACACACAACAAGGCTAAACGGTCTGCTCTGCCACACTGCTCGGTCCACCTGTTGAGTTTGCGGATATGAATTGCTGTTTCTCAGGTTGCCTCTACCCAAGCCCCCACCGTCCCTCCCACCCAACTCTCTGCTATCATCTTCATCCCCTGTATTCAAATGCTTCTTCTTATCTCCCTTTCCTGTCCTGTCCGCCTTAGCCTTCTCTCTTCCGCTTCTTCTGTTCTCTGATCCCTTTGCGCCTTCGGCGGCAGCAGCAGCAGGCCCATGAGTAGAACCAGCTTCGATAGTAGCACCTTCTTGAGGCCTCTTCCGTTTTCGCCTCTCCCGCTCCTTCAGCCGAGCATATGCGACGTACTGCTCAGCTGCCACACGGATTGGTGGGGAGGGAGGAGAAAAGAGGGCATTGAATAACCTCTGCTCAGCTGCCACACGGATTGGTGGGGAGGGAGGAGAAAAGAGGGCATTGAATAACCTCTGCTCAGCTGCCACACGGATTGGTGGGGAGGGAGGAGAAAAGAGGGCATTGAATAACCTCTGCTCAGCTGCCACACGGATTGGTGGGGAGGGAGGAGAAAACGGACGTATTCAAAGCACTCTTTCACACACACACACAGAGCACTGTTTCGAAGCACTGAATAACCGCTGCCTTGGTGCAGATACCTTCAGCCAGCCGAGCATATGCGCCGTACTGCTCAGCCGCAACACGGTTAGTGCAGAGGATAAAACAGGGCAAATTCAGAGCACTGACTCACACAGCACAGCACTATACCGAGGGATCCATATCCCCTGCACGAGTGTATATACCCTCACCCTGGCATATGCACCATACTGCCCAGCTGCCAGATGGATTGGCGGGGAGGACAAAACATAGCAGAATTAAAGCACTGTCCCACACAGCACTGTTCCGAACAGGGCATATTCTCCCTCCCTGAAGCGTTTGATTCACCTACTATTACTCGATTACCGGTACTCGCTACATTTGCATTACTTTTGAGAATTCCACACAGCAACTCGTATGGATTCAAGTGCTGTGCAATTAATCTATTTATAGTTGAGTAGGGAGCAGCTCACCTACAGCCTGATCGGCCTCCACGTCAGCGCGGGACGGCGCGCGGCCGTGCGACGCGGCGAGGCGTCGCTCCCATTCCTTCAGCCGCCGCCGTAGCCTCTCCAACTCGCCAGCACCGCCGTCACCGGTATGACCCCTCTCCTCCCTCCCGCCATTTTCAAGTCCACTCTCGCGTCGACGCCTCTCCGACTCGCCAGCATCTCCGGTACTGGGAGGCTTAGGCTGCTCCTTCCTTTTTCTACCCCTCTCCTCCCTCCCGGCATCAGGCGATTTCTCATTCTCTCCTCTCTCCGTCAGGTCGACTTTCGTTCCCAACACCTCCTGTTCAACGCCGACCTTATTGGTTCTATTCATGCCCGGAACACGCACCGGCGCAACTATGTCGTTAACGAGTCTGACAGTACTCGCGGCCAATGCTAGCACGCAGATGCAGTCGCGGATTCAAGTCCCGCAAACGAAGCCATGGAAAGCGGAAAATGCGCAGAGAAGTGTTATTCGTGTAACGTTAGTAGGCTCGAACGATTCCTTGTCGACAACTACCAACTTGGTGGTCTTGGAAGCAGGAACCATGGACAAGGCAAGGGACTAGTCGATGCGATATGGGGTGATCGGTTGAAGGTCGTTGATCGGCTGGCAGTTTGCTCAGAAATTCAAATTCTAAAACTCTTGGGTGTGCGACAGATGGGTTTTGGCGGGAATCGAAGAAAAAGCATCCGTAACTCGATTCGGTAAGAGAAAACAGTCGCACGGATTTTGGCTGATATGAGAAAGCTGTTTCAAAATCAGGCAGCTGTACAAATATCCTCACAAAAAACCAAGCATGTTATTTTCTCCTCTTTCTACCGTACTATCCCCGCCCTCGCCGTCCAGCACTTCCCCTACCCCTATTGCCTCCATTGCCAGCAGTGATCCCTTCCCCTCTCCCTCCCCCATAACCATTCTCCACCCCTCTCCACTCCACCGTGCTGCTCTGATTCCTCCCACCCATGCTCGCACAATTATCCCCCACCCTTCCCCCCACCCCTCCCCCTGCCCCTGCCCCTCCCCTTCCACCTGCTCCTCCCTCTGCACCTCCTCCTCCCCCTCTCCCTCCCCTCGCCCCTCCCCCCGCCCTCCCCCCCACACTCGCCCCTTCCACACTCTCCTCTGCCCTCCTCTTCTTCCTCCCCTCCACCGCCTCTGCCTTAGGCGCAGCAGCAATGAGCACCTTCAGAATATCCACAAGGTAACTCACCACAGTCCCAATCTTGGCTACCTTCCTCACCCCACCCACTTCCTCCCCACCCCCTGCCCCTTTCCCACCACCTCCTCCTCCTCCCCCTGCCGCTCCTCCTCCTGCTAATGCTGCTCCCGCCTGCTCCCCTCCTGCCGTTCCCTCACCACCGCAACTCCCCTCGCCTCCTCCATTCCCCTCCTCCGCCTCATCCCCTTCAGTGCTGACCAGCAGAAGAACAGGGTACCGCCCACTCGCGTTGTACTCTTCGATTTCTGCGGCAGCTCGCTTGAAATCCGCCACTCCCGCCCACGCGAAATCCGCCTCAATCTCTCTCATTGCCTTGGCTACCAGCTCGTCTGTGCTGTTGAACACACGCTGTTGGTACGAGGGAAGCAGGGAGGAACGGAAGGAAATGGGGGGGGACAGAAGAAGAAGCGGGGACAGAAGTTTTTTTAAGCTGGTAGCCAAAAGAAGTCATAATCAGTTGACCTGATCTGCTCCTCCCACCGAAAAAAAAGGTGAATTCTGAGTCGACTCAAATGTACCTTAGGTATAGAGAGCTTATGGCATACCTTGGCAACTCCATTTATCTCTTGTACGCGAAAGAAGTCATAATCAGTGGACCGGATCAGCTCCTCCCACGCGGAGAACTTGACAGTGAAATCCGCCTGCCAGTTGGGGTCCCGCTCCTCCCGACCCTCCATCCCCTCCTTGCACACCCCACACGTCCTGCACCGCTCGCACTTTTTAAGTGCCTTATTCGCCCGGCACGCGGGGCACGCCTTGCATGTGCGGCAGGCCGTGTAGGCCTTGAGCCAGAGGGGTTTCTTGAGCAGCCCCACTGTCTGGGGGCGCACAGGAGGGTTGTTTACCAGCTCGGGTACTCCTGGGAGGGTCACTGCCTTGAGAAGCTTCTGATTGTCCTTCAGAAACTGGAGGAGGAGGAGGAGAGAGGAGAAGGGGACGGGGAGGAGAGGACAGGGCGCAGGGGAGAAGAAGAGTGAGTTGAGCGCATGACACGCGGGGCACACCTTGCATGTGCGGCAGGCCGTGTAGGCCTTGAGCCAGAGGGGTTTCCTGAGCAGCCCCACGGTCTGGGGGCGCACAGGAGGGTTGTTCACCAGCTCGGGTACTCCTGGGAGGGTCACTGCCTTGAGATGCTTCTGATGCTCCTTCAGAAACTGGAGGGGGGGATGGGAGGAAAGGACCGGGGGAGGAGAGAGGACAGGGGGTAGAGGAGGGAGAGGGAGAGGAGAGGGCAGGGCGCAGGGGAGAAGAAGAGTGAGTTGAGCGCATCGCAAGCAGGGCACGCCTTTCATGTGCGGCACGCTCGGAAGGCCTTGAGCCAGAGTGATGAGGCATGCAACCAGGCAAGCAAACAGTAACCAGGAAAGCACACTGTAGGCAGGCAAGCAAGTTGTCGTGAAGTAGCTCCTCTCCTTCTGCTCTTCTGACTGTTCTTCTCTTCCTCCTTCTCAGATTCCCTGTTTCTTCCTGACGGATACTTCCACCTCCTCTCTCACCCTCATCCTCTCATGCCTGCTTGTCTGTCCCGGTACCGCCTGTCTGCCTCTTCTTTCTCCTGGTGTATGTGATGATGCCGCTCCTGCCTTCTCCTTGCTTCTCAGGCTGCATGGAGCAAAAAGCACAGAGCAGGTATCCTCCCCTGCCTAAGTCCCAACCATCCTTCTGCCTAGGTTGCTTGTCCCACAAGCTAACTCTAGTTGCCAAGTCGCATAGCAGCAGTGCTGCACGCGATAGCTTCTAGGTGCTAGCTGTGTCCCAGTGGCCCACTAGGCATGCACCGACTTCCAGCTGGAATTGCATTCTCTGAATCGAATTCCCATCCTGGAATCGAATTCCCAGCCTGGAATCGAATTCCCAGCCTGGAATCGAATTCCCAGCCTGGAATCGAATTCAACCCTGTCCCCACCAAATTCCTTGAGCTTCTCCCACCTGCTCGGCTCCATATATGTACAGTACATTCCAAGCACACAAACGAAAGTATGAGTACAAGAAACAAACAGCAATATAGTACAACCTCACCTTAAGCTGCTGTGCAATTCACACTTAGCCGCAGGCTATGTGTTAATAGCGCGACAAAGTACACACCTGAAGGCAAGCCAGCAAGCATGCAGCTCGAGCGCGGTCTTCCGGTCGTCAGAATGAAGAATGAAGATGACCTTCAAGTCGAATAGAAAAACTTTGGCTAGCAAACAAGCACGCACGCACGCACACCTCGAGCGCGGTCTTCCGGGCATTCAACACGTCGTCATCCTTGACCCGCGCAACCACCGACAGGCGAAAGAACCGGTCCTGTTCCTCCTCCACCATCTCCTTCGCCTCCTCCAACTCCTCCTCCAGCCGCCTCAGCCTCTCCTCCGCCTCTTTAGACCCCTCCCCCTCCAATTCCCCCTCCCCCTCCCCCTCCCCCACCCCCGCTACTGCCTGCTTGCCCTTGGCCTCCTCAACCTGTATCTCCATTCGGTGCTTCTGCTCGACTTTCAGCCGCACCTGCTGAAACATCCCCTCCAGTTCCTCCATCTCGCGCTGGTGAGGACGGGAGAAGGAGAGGAACGGAGGGATGAAAGCCAGAGCAAGGAGCACTTAGCCTCCTCAAGCTGCATTTCCATTCAAATGCCTCTGCTTCACCATCAACCACACCTGCTGAAACCTCGCTTCCAGTTCCTCCATTTCCCGCTGGTGAGGGGGGGAGAGGGAGCGATGGAGGGAAGGAGGGAGCGGCAAGGTGGTTTGAGCCTTATTCGGACTGCACCCCCATTTGATGCCTCTGCTCCACCTTCAGCCGCACCTGCTGAAACATCCCCTCCAACTCCTCATCTCCCGCTGGGGAGGGGGGAAAGAGGGACGGACGGTAGGAAAGGAAGGGATGAAGGAAGGAAGGATGGAAGTAGGAGCATGGTAGTGTGTGGCAGATTGGGATACGGCGGGGTCGACTCCGTTGCAAGGCGAGGTGGATAGGATCGTCTCCATTGAATGGGCATCCGAGGAACAACACGGGCCACGTGTAAAAAGATTATTTTTGAGACGTCTCAAAAATAAACTTTTTACACGTGGCAAAAGAGATGACTCCATCATGATTGCAGTACCGGCGCTCCACAGAAAACGGATTCAAGGCGTCCCAAAACTCGCTTCACGGTAACCACGAATGTTTCGCAGGAAATGGCACGGGACTATCGCGCTTCTATAGAGAGTTTGAACTTGGGGCAGGCCAACAGCCATGCCAGTTGAACTGTTCAAGTTCGCCTGTTAGTTATGCCAGCTAGGCCTAGCTTGGGGCATCAAAAACTTACTCCATTCCAATTCTTCCCCATGACTTCTCCCACCCTCTCCGCTACTCCCTTGCCCACCCTCCCCCAGCATTTGCCACTCACCGCTCGCCTCTGAGCCTGCTGCTGCTGCAGCTCCCCCTGCTTCTCCTGCTGCTTCAGCTTCCATGTCAGCTCCTCCAGCCTCCGCCTCGTCTGCCATAAAACGGAACGGATGTGACTAAAAGCAATGGGATATCATAGATACCACGACACGCCATCAAACAACCGCGCGAGTGGGAAAATCACGGCAATGGCCGCATAATGGCCGCATGATGGCCGCATGATGGCCGCGTGATGGCTGCATGATGGCCGCATGATGGCCGCATGATGGCCGCATGATGGCCGCATCACGGCCCGGAACCTTTAGGGAAAAGCACCTCGCGAGTGTTGGCTCCCGTGGTTCCTTCGGCCCCCACCTCTATTGGAGCGACTTTTGAGAATTCTCAAAAGTAGCTCCAATAGGGCAAAGCACCTCGCGAGTGTTGGCTCCCATGGTTCCTTCGGCCCCCACCTTTATTGGAGCGACTTTTGAGAATTCTCAAAAGTAGCTCCAATAGGGCAAAGCACCTCGCGAGTGTTGGCTCCCGTGGTCCCTTCCGCCCCCGTCTTCTTTTTCTGCGAAACCTTGATGACAAACTTTTCTTCCAACAATAGCTACTTTACAGCTTCGCACGCAGTTTACCAAGGTCATAAGGCAAGGCACTCATAAGGTTAAAATAGTAGTGTTTGTGTGCGAGCGAGAGTGCACGTGCGAGCGAGCGTGTGTGAGAGTGCATGTGCAAAGTGCATATACGAGAGTCAATACCCCTCTCCTCCTTCAGAAACCCCCTCACCTCTCCCCTCACCTCCTGCGCATTGGCTCTCCTCGACTCAAGCTGTCCTTGCAGCCACTCCACTTCTTTTGAGGCGCCTCAAAAGTCGTCTCATTACCCGCAATTTTTTTAGGCGCCTCAAAATTCGTCTCATTACCCGCAAATTTTTTAGGCGCCTCAAAAGCCCTCACCTCCTGCTCATTGGTCTCCTCGACTCAAGCTGTCGTTGCAGCCACTCCACTTCCCCTTCCATACGCTGCACCTCCTGTATGCAGTCCTTCATCTGCCTCTCCCCTCACTCACCTCATGCTCCTCGTTGCACCCCCCCTCTCCCCATTTTCCTCCTCTCCTCTCTCACCCCACCCCTTTCCCTCCCCTCCCCCAGTGTTCCTCCTTTCAACCCCCCTTCACCTTTCTCCTCACCTTCTTCTCGTCAACACTCTTTGCTTCCAGCTGTGGTTGCAACAACTCCATCTCTCCTCCCAAGCCCTGCACCTCTTCCATGCGATTCCTCATCTGCCTTCCTCAATCAACCCATTCTCCCCTCAACCCATTCTCCCCTCAACCCATTCTCCCCTCACCCCATTCTCCCCTCACCCCATTCTCCCCTCACCCCATTCTCCCCTCACCCCATTCTCCCCTCACCCCATTCTCCCCTCACCCCATTCTCCCCTCACCCCATTCTCCCCTCACCCCATTCTCCCCTCACCCCATTCTCCCCTCACCCCATTCTCCCCTCACCCCATTCTCCCCTCACCCCATTCTCCCCTCACCCCATTTTCCCCTTACCTTCTTCTCGTCAGCACTCTTCGCCTCCAGCTGTTGTTGCAGCCACTCCACCTCTCCTTCCATACGCCGCACCTCGCGCATGCGATTCCTCATCTGCCTCTCCACCACCTCCTGTGTGTGCGCGTGTGCCTCTGCCAACTCTGCAACAATAAGAAGAACAAGGGAGGACACAGGGAAGGTGTGACAAAAGGCATGTAACAGCGCTGGAGGGGGGAGTTCGAATGTGATCCCCTTAACAGGACAAGGGGAGGGAACAGCCCTTCCACTTCTCGTTTCATGCCATCCCGAATGTGATCTGAACGCCATAACACTTTCTTCATCCCCGTCTCGCAACACCTTCCGCACGCCTTGCCTGTGCTTCTTCCTGAGCATCATACTAAGTCTTCCATCTCCTTTAGCCGCCCCTCTGTGTCCTGCAAGCAAGCACTCCCTCCCACAGGCTATTTGACTGACTTTCACATGTGTGCACCACATACTTCCCCTTGCTCGTAATAAAGGTGCGATGGGGTATCAGTTGTTGTAGCAGGTGAGCTAAGTGAGAGATTCTGGGAGCTCTCGCAAAGGAATTGCAGCGACTCAACGCCGGTTTGCGTAGGCGAATCAAGGCACTCATGCCTTGAGGTAGTGACATCAATTGAGGTGCGTCAACTGACAAAGACGTCAATACCTCAAGGCATGAGCTCCTTGATTCGCATATGCAACCTGACATTCAGTCGCTGCAAATATTTGTGGCAGCTCCCGGAATCTCTCACTCAGCTCACCTGCCTACACTACAGCAACTGATACTCCATACCATACACCCTAATCACAACCCTCACATACATTCTCTCCCATGTTGCACACTGCGCACCTTGCTCGTGCACCTTCCTGAGCATCATAGCAGAATCCTCGTCCTTGAACCGCCCCTCTGGGATCTTCTTGTGCGCGTTCCAATAGCCTCACTCTCCACCACCACATGCATCCACCCCACCACCAATCCTCCCTTACAAAACTTCCCTCCCAGAAAATCACCCCCCCAAGCTGTGCACTGCGCACCTTGCCCGTGCTTCTTCCAGAGCATCATTGCAAAGTCTTCCATCTCCTTGAGCCGCCCCTTTGTGTCCTGCAGGCGCTCTGCCAGGCTCTAACACGCATGCATGCTCCACCAACGCTCCCTGAGATAATCTCCCTACCATTCAGCCCCGGGCCCACCTTGCTCGTGCTTCTTCCTGAGTTGCATAGCAGAATCTTCCATCTCCTTGAGCCGCCCCTCTGTGTCCTGCAGTCGCTCTGATAGGCGCATATACGCACGCTCCTGCACGCGCCTCTCCTCCCTCTCCTGCTGCCGCTTCACTGACTCCTCTTCGTCCAACACCTGAGGACACAAGGAGGGGAGGGGATGGGAGGGGAGAGGGGGGGAAGGGAGGGGCAGAGTGAGTTTAACACATCAACGCCCACTCCTGCACCCGCCTCTCCTCCCTCTCCTGCTGCCGCTTCACTGACTCCTCTTCGTCCAACACCTGAGGACGCAAGGAGGGGAGGGGATGGGAGGGGAGAGGGGGGGAAGAGGGGCAGAGTGAGTTAAACGCATCAACGCCCACTCCTGCACCCGCCTCTCCTCCCTCTCCTGCTGCCGCTTCACTGACTCCTCTTCGTCCAACACCTGAGGACGCAAGGAGGGGAGGGGATGGGAGGGGAGAGGGGGGGAAGAGGGGCAGAGTGAGTTAAACGCATCAACGCCCACTCCTGCACCCGCCTCTCCTCCCTCTCCTGCTGCCGCTTCACTGACTCCTCTTCGTCCAACACCTGAGGACGCAAGGAGGGGAGGGGATGGGAGGGGAGAGGGGGAGAAGAGGGGCAGAGTGAGTTAAACGCATCAACGCCCACTCCTGCACCCGCCTCTCCTCCCTCTCCTGCTGCCGCCTCACTGACTCCTCTTCGTCCAACACCTGAGGACGCAAGAAGAGAGTAGGGGAAAAGAGAAGAGAGAGGAGCGTACAGATGCCATATTACCTCTTCAGCACGCACTGGCTCATCCTCCCCACTGGCTCATCCTCACTCACCCTCTACCAGGTGTGTTTTGAGTCGACTCAAAACATACCTCTTCAGCACCTCCCCTCCCCACTGGCTCATCCTCACTCACCCTCTACCGTCGATCTGAAGTCACATCCATGAACAAACATAACCTCCCTTAGAATCTTCAGTCGTCCCGTGCTACTTATGCAGCACATTCACCAGACCAGACCAGCGCCCCTTCTCACTCCATTAACCCCCAAACACCTCCAGAGTCACATCTACACACCGAACCTCACCTCTCTCAGGCTCTCGGTTGCCTTGTGCTTCTTGTGCAGCACACTCCCCACCAGCCCCTTCTCACTCCATTAACCCCCAGATACCTTTCAAGTCAGATCTGTAGACCAAACCAAACTCACCTCCCTCAAGCTCTTGGTCGCCTTGTGCTTCTTGTGCAGCACACTCCCCAGCGGCCCCTTCTCACTCTCCTCCTTCAAATCCTGCTCCCTTGCCGCCCACGCGAACAACTCCTTGGTCTCGCCCCTCCTCCCATTAGAGAACCCCTTCCTCCCCAACCCTGCCTGGCTATATGTCTTGTCCAGCTTCGAGGCGGCTTCCCACCCCTTGGCGTTTTCCTCAAAGAGAAGGAGAGCTTTGCCAGTATGGCCCTTGAAGTCTGATGAAGGGTGAGGATTGAATGAGAAGAGAAGCCCAGATTGGAAAGGAGCACAGAGGCAGGCATGTGTATGCATGTGGCCTCTCTCTCTCTCTCTCTCTCTCTCTCTCTCTCTCTCTCTCTCTCTCTCTCTCTCTCTCTCTCTCTCAGCCTCCCACCCACCCCTCGGCGTTTCCCTCGAAGTGAGTCAGAGCCATGCCGGTATGGCTCATGCGGTCTGAGGAAGAGGAGGGGGGGGTCAAGGGAGTGATGCAGTTAGAAAAGAAACAAAGAGGCAGGCATGTGGATGTGGCCTCCCAGCCTCCATCAAGGGCAGGCGCGTTCTTCCCAAAGTCAATCAGAGCCATGCCGGTATGGCTCATGCGGTCTGAGGACGGGGGGGGGTCAAGAGAGAGATGCAGGCAGCTGGAAAGGACAGAGAGAGACAGACATGTGAATGTCTGCAGGAGGGCTCCCACCCACCCCTTGGCGCGTCCTCCTCCAAGTGAATCAGAGCCGCCCCTGTGTGGCCGCTGAAGTCTGATGAAGGGTGGGTGAGGATCGAATCAAGGAAGCAAGCAAAATTGGAAAGAAACTGAGCGGCACAGTATTATCACCCCCCGCCATCCCCCACTCACTGTCACCCCCCATCACCCCCCACTCACTGTCATCCCCCATCACCCCCCACTCACTGTCACCCCCCATCACCCCCCACTCACTGTCACCCCCCATCACCTCCCACTCACTGTCACCCCCCATCACCCCCCACTCACTGTCACCCCCCATCACCCCCCACTCACTGTCACCCCCCGCCATCCCCTACTCACTGTCACCCCCCATCACCCCCCACTCACTGTCACCCCCCATCACCCCCCACTCACTGTCACCCCCCATCACCCCCCACTCACTGTCACCCCCCATCACCCCCCTCTCACTGTCACCCCCCATCACCCCCCACTCACTGTCACCCCCCATCACCCCCCACTCACTGTCACCCCCCATCACCCCCCACTCACTGTCACCCCCCATCACCCCCCACGCACTGTAAAGAACGTCCACTTTCCGCGGGCCATAGTTCTTAAGAGTGATTTCCAGCTCCTCACGAGTGGTGCCGCCCAGAATGTTCCTCCCTTTTCTGTCTCGCGATGAGAGATGCAAGCATGTGTATGAGTCATGTCATCTACCCACCCACCCCCCCCCCCATCACCCCCCACGCACTGTAAAGAACATCCACTTTCCGCGGGCCGTAGTTCTTAAGAGTGCTTTCCAGCTCCTCCCGAGTGGTGCCGCCCAGAATCTTCCTGTTCTGAATCTTATCATACGTCCAATACGTCTGCAGGTTCTTCACAATCGCCACGGGCGGCCAGAGAATCCTATCCTGCAAAACAAATATGTGTATATATAGATATATACAAGAGGAAAATAAATATACAAAAAAAAAAAAAAAAATCGATGCAACGGAAAGATGTGCATTAAGTACGAAAAAGAAATTTGAATACACTTCATAAGCCATGTCTTACCTCCACAACCGCAGGAGTCTGAAGAGGTGCCGCGTTTACAGCCCGAGCAGGCTTTTCCGGCTGCATGTCCGGCCGCATCAGCCGCTCCACCAGCTTCTTGTGCCGCCGACTCTCCTTGGCCCCTTTTCTCGACGTCTTTTTCGATTGAGCTTCTGCGTGTGTCATAACTTCGTTGAATTTGTAATCCTGCTTCATCTGCCCCGGGCAGAACGGGCAGCGGTACGTTCCGTCGGGGTTGAGAATGGTTGCGGGATTTTGAATGCGTTCCTCGTCGCGATCCAGCTCCTCCTCACCCTTATCCGACAGTGCATCGTCTTCGTTATCGTCGATGGGCGACGCGTACCCGTCGTCGTCGCTGTATAACTCGTCCATTTTTTAGTGCTGGCGAGCGGTGCTGGCGAGCGGTGCTGGCGAGCGGTGCTGGCGAGCGGTTCTGGCGAGCGGTTCTGGCGAGCGGTTCTGGCGAGCGGTGGCGAAGAGCCTTTTAGAGGCGCCTAAAAAACTGTGTTGAAGAGCCAAGAGGACGACCGTTCTCTGAGAAGAAATCTCTAAGGCAGAGACCGCAAAGTCGAACTATTATTTTACGTGGTAAAAATCTTCCTCTGATCGAGCCTTTTCAGAGCAGCTGAAAATGGCGCAAGCCTGGGACGCGATGAAGAAAGTAGGCGGAAGGCTAGTAGGCTTGATGATGTGGGGTGGCGGAATTATCAATGGTGCTTTAGGTTGGAATTCCAAAGCGAAACTGCAGAGGGAAGCGACATGTTACGGAGTTCGCGATTGTTCGGCCTAGTGGGTTTTGTTCGCTAATTTTCGCTGATATTCTGTTGGAGCTTCGCTCACGTTTCGCTTGAGGTTGCGACTTCTAGCCGAAGGTCTAACGACCGTCGTTTCGCTTACGTTCGCTCACGTCTGACGCGAAATATGTAAACGGGTGCCATAAAGGCTGTTTCGCTAAAGGCCCAAACTACTTCTACAAACATAAATTCCATAGCCAATAACGCGAAGATTAGTCACCATGGCACGCGCTAGCTCTAGCGGGAGCATCGCGGAGCGATCACTCGAAGTCGAGCTTTTGCTCGCCTCGCTCGGAGCGCCGCCGTCGTTCGCGCTACGACATCGCGACGAGCTACATTCGCGAAAACTCGCTTGCGATAGTGACGGGCTTAGCGGTTCAAGAGACAACAGGTCAGGCGAACGGCCGTTAGCCGCGCTAGGCTCCGTGGTTGCGCTCATCAGCGCGGGGAGGTATGCAGCCGCGCTGGAGCGCGCATCTTCCGCCCTCGCGGTCCTCCCCTCCGCGGAGCAGCTGGCGGAAGCAGTGGCCGCGCGCGCGGAGAACCAGCCAGGGGAAGCGGCCGCGGGCGCAGCCGCGGCGGAAGCGTTTTTCTGCGCAGTGAGGGGGAGAATCGGCGCGCTGCTGGTGGAGGGGGGGAAACCTCACTCGGGAAGCGGGAAGATGGAGGGGGAGGAGGAGGAGAGGGTTGGCAAGTGGAGCGCGAGAGAGAAGGCGCTGCTGGTGCTGATGATGGGGGCGGCGAGCCTCTGCCTCTTCGTGCAGGCGAATGTTAGCGGGTGGGTGTGACTGTACGTGCTTATAACGAGAGAATGGGAGTGAGGGTCACGTGCTTACACTGAAGAATGGATGTGAGCTACTGAATTCCTTTGGTTGCCTAGCAGAGGCTACCAAGACGTGCAGTGAAAGAGGCGTGGATCCAGAAAACCAGGATTAGGATACTGGGAATTCTCAAGAACCAGTCAGGGTAATCAGGGCAGTGAGGGCACTCAGGGTTTGGGGTTTAAGCTTAAGCTTCATCGCACAGTTAATCCGCAAGCCCACTTGCAGCCCTAAATTTTTTATCCCACAGCCTAAAAGGTCATACCCTGAGCCTTAAACCTTGGTCCTTGAATTTCAGGCTTGGACCCTAAACCCCGTGCTGTGAAATGGGGACACGAATCAAAATCATGTGATCACTGTGCCTCCATTTCCCATATCGTCGCACATTCAAACATAAATTCAACTGTTGTCCCCTTTTCTCCTTCCCCCCCTCCTCCTCATGTGCCCCCCTTTCCCTCACCTCCCTCCACCTCCCACGTCCCCTCTCCCATGCCTCCCATTCCCTTCGCTCCACTCCCTCCTCTCTCACTCTCCACTCCCTCTTTCTCTCTCACCACCACCAGTCCCGAGCCTTCTGCAGTCCCAACACTCCCACTCAACCCAGCACCAGCCAGCAGCGACACGTCAGCAACCCCCGTTGACACGTCAGCACTTGCCAGCCACCCCTCATTCCTCGCCAGCGAGGTGGCACGCGTGGCGCTGAGCAAGTGGTGTCAGGTGGAGCTCATGACAGATGGTGCTGACGTCACAGGCAGATGCCACCTCCCCCAGTACCTCCTACTCGCCAGGACCCTCCTCCTCCCCCCTCTCTTCCCACTCATATTCCCCTCCCCTTCCTCTTCCTCCTCCCCCTCCTCCTCCACTCCCTTTGTCAAACCTTCTGAGGCATTCTCCCCGTCCTTGCTGCCGCCCTCCTGGCCCTGGTGGGCGGCGAGGGTTGTCGTTATTCACCAGAGGGTGCTACAGGAGCGGTCCCCCTCCCTCCGCGCCCTGCTGCTCCCCTGCACTGCTCACCTGGGAGAGACGCTGGGGAGGAAAGATGCCGTGAGACGAGCTTTGTTTAGAAAAGAGGAGGAGAAGGAGGAGGAGGCGGAGGGAGGGGAGAAGGAGGGGGGGAAGGAGGGGGAGGGGGAGGGGGAAGTGTGTGTGCGGGTGGCAGCGATGGTGCATCTGGAGGCTGGGATGATGGACATGGCGTATGCACACGTGGACACTGCCAGGTGTGTGCCTGACACGTGGACAATGTGGGGATGCGCTACTCTGCTTTTCACAATGTGGGGATGCGCTACTCTGCTTTTCACAATGTGGGGATGCGCTACTCTGCTTTTCACAATGTGGGGATGCGCTACTCTGCTTTTCACCATGTGGGGATGCGCTACTCTGCTTTTCACAATGTGGGGATGCGCTACTCTGCTTTTCACACAACTCCCCAGCGAATAGCGCATCCCCAGCGCAGAATAGCGCATCCCCAGCGCAGAATAGCGCTGTTCCATGGCTCAATCATTCCCATCCCGCATTCCTTCCACCTTCCCCCTTCTTTCCCCCCCACTTCCTCGCACCCACAACAAACACCCACTCTGGCGGGCAGGAAGTGGTTTGAGAGAGCTCTGCAGGAGTGCGGAGTGGTGCTGGGTGTCACTGGAGCCATGGGGTACCGCACCATACATCAGGTGAACAGGGGTAGGGTAGGGGTGAGAGAAAGGGCTTTTGAGGCGCCTCAAAAGGGTGAGAGGAAGGGCTTGAAAGTGGGGGTGCATGCGCACATGCATGCACAGGGCTTCAGCAGGGTGGGTTGGGTGTGGGTCACACACATGGGATGGCATGGCATGGCATGTGATGACCATTGCCTTCTATAAAATGGCATGTGTATGGTGGTGACAAAGCGCAGTTGGACAGGACATGGGCCATGATTTGGTTCGCCCCCTGCAGCATTCGCATATGTTCATCCAATCTCTTTTTTTTCGCCTCTCCTTCCCTATTTCCTTCCCACCTCCGCTTCTCACAGTAGGCACGCAGGTCGATCCGAAAGCACAGCTCGTGCTGATAATGACAAGAAGCGAAGCCGTGAAGGAAGGAGATGGAGAAAAGCTGAGCGACACGCCTTCATCCCCTCCCGCATTCCCACATCTTCCTCTCAACTCTTCTTCCCACTCACCCATGGTATGCACGCAGGTCGATCCGAAAGCACAGCTCGTGCTAGTAATGACAAGAAGCGAAGCCGTAAAGGAAAGAGATGGGGCGGTGTGAAACCGACAGGCCTCATCCCCCTCCCGCACTGCCGATCCTTTGTCCCCTGTGCTGCATGCACACAGGTCGATCCCAAAGCACAGCTTGTGCTGGCAGTGACAAGAAATGACGCCCTTAAGGAAGGAGATGCGGCAGTGTTAGGCGATATGGAATTACCCAAGGATGTGACATGTGGGGACAGGCAAGGGCAGCAAGAAGAGAAGGGAGAGAAGGGGGAAGGTGGAAAGGAGGGAGATGGGGGGGAGGAGGAGGAGGAGGGGGAGAGTATGGAGGAGTTGGAGTGTTTGTTCGAGCCGGAGGAGTGTGATGTGCTGCTGGCCCCGCGGCTGGTGGAAGGGGGAAGTGGTGGGGGTGAGATCGTGGCAAATGGGGGTGAAAAGGAAGAGAAGCAGAGTGCTGTCGATGGTGGCACGAGTGGTGTGCTGAGGGGTGTTGAGCAGGCGGCGGTGCTGGCGCTGGCTGTTGATACAGTGAAGCAAAACGCTGCTGATGAGCTGAGAGGTGAGTGGGATGGCCTTTCAGGCGTTGGGGAAGAAGGGGCGGGCGGGGGGATGAGGGGAAAGGGAGGGGCATTGAGGGGTGATGAGCAGGCGGCGGTGCTGGCAATGGCTGTTGTCACAGTGAAGCAAAACGCAGCAGATGAACTGAGAGGTGAGTGGGATGACTTCTGAGACTTCTTAGAAACGTAGACAGATTGTGACACGCAGAGGCCTTTTTAGACGCCATGCCACTCAAAAAAAGAAGTTTCTTTCTTTCTTCAGTTTGCTCTTTCGGTCCTTCTTTCTTGTAAGCGTGAACCTTTTCCTTTTGTTTTTTTCCTTTTTCTAATGTGTGACAACAACTGTGTTACAGGCTGGGAAGCAGCGCCTTATATCGAAGCAATCACTCTGCAACAACACATCCCACCCATGGTATGCTGCTGCTGCCTTGCCTTGCCCCACCTTATCAGAAAAAAAATAACCATCTTAAAAGAAAAAAACAAAAAACAAAAAAAACAACAACAACCAGCAACACATCCCACCCAACGTGATCGAAACTTCTGTTGCGGAGGCTTCACCGCAACAACCGCTTAAGAAAAGCTAACAAGAACAACTCCTTCCAGTGAAACATCCCGGCCAGCCATGATATGCTGCTGCTGCTGCCCTGCCCGATCACACCAATGTGAAACACAATTAGTGCATGCATGGGTGTGTGCATGCATGGATGGGTGTGTGCGTGCATGGGTGTGTGCGTGCATGGGTGCGTGCGTGCATGGGTGCGTGCATGCATGGGTGCGTGCGTGCATGGGTGCATGCGTGTGTGTTCTCTGGTAGTAGTGTGTTTTCTCTCTGGCTGTTTGAGAACGCATTTGGCTCTACGAACTGACTTCCACAGGCGAAGAGGTGGGGTGAGCTGCTGGGCGTGCCCTGGCTGGGATCGCAAGCAGTGCCTTTTGAGTCTGCTCAAAAGTCACCTTGCTGGGCGTGCCCTGGGATCGCAAGCAGTGCTAACACCCATTCCCTTCCACACAATTTTTACCTTACGTTCTCCTCTCCTCCTCTCCACCGGACTCCCAGAGGTGAAGTGAAGGCAGGCTGTGAGCTGCTGGGGGTTCGGTGCAGTGAAAACACATGCAAGGCTTAACACCCGTGCCCTTTCTCTTACTTTCTCTCCTCCTCCCCCCTCCCGTGCTCCCCACCGACCCTCTTTAACTGCCTCCACAGGTGAAGGGGGGTGTGAGCTGCTGAGGGCGCGGTGGAACACAAGAGGCTTTCTCATACCCCCTCCCCTCCCTCCCACCGCAAACTTACTCAAAAAGTTTTGCCCCTCCTCCCCCACCTCCACAGGTGAAGGCAGGCTGTGAACTGCTGAGGGTGCGGTGGGAGTGCAAGCAAGGCTAACACTCATGTCCTTCCTCCCACCTTCTCTCCTCCCTCCCGCTTCACTCCTCCCCACCTCCCCTCCTTCCCCACCTCCACAGGTGAAGGCAGGCTGTGAGCTGCTGAGAGTGAGGTGGGAGCGCAAGCGACCGCACACCCGTTTCCTTCCTCTTGCCTACTCCCACTCACCCTGCTCCTGCCCTCCACCTGACTTCCACAGGTGAAAGCGGGCTGTGAGCTGCTGAGGGTGCGGTGGGAACGCAAGCGACCGCACACGCGGCAGAGAGCAGTTGCGACAATGGAGCAACTGGTGAGGGGGAATGGATGGGGAAGGAATGGAATGGGGAACAGAAATTACAGCTTGAGACGCCTCAGTGGCTTCTTCTGTTCGACCGCACACGCGGCAGAGGGCAGTTGCGACGATGGAGCGACTGGTGAGTGGGGAGTGTGTGGGTAAGGAAGGACTACTGCCATTGTAGCTTGAGACGTCTCAGTGGCATCTTGTGACCGCTCGCACTCGCACACAAAGCAGAGGGCAGATGGAGTGAGTGATTGGTGAGGGAGGAGGAATGGAGCGACTGGTGAGCTGGGCTGGGAGTGAATAGGAAGGAATGGATTATCAGGCTTCTGCTACCTGCGGCTTGTAAAGCACATTTCTGTGTTCCATCTTGCTTCCTGGTGTTGTCCTTTGGTGTGCATGAAATCTCGTTCTTCAAATTCTTTGAATTTCACGCCACCAAGCAAAGGGAACACAGGTGTCAAGTCACTTCTCCACATGTTTGTTGTCTACGAGCAGATGACTGTGATCCGTATGGTTTCCTTTATTGCTGTGCTGTGCTGTGCTGTGCTGTGCTGTGCTGTGCTGTGCTGTGTGGTGCGGTGGTGTGCTCCCACTTCAGATCCAGTCAGTCTCACATCAGGAGAAGAGGATTCGCCAGCAGCAATCGCAAGCAGCCTCGGGATCATCGGGAGGAGCTGTGGCGGCTGCGTTGCCGGAGGAGGAAGCGAGAGAAGCAGCAGAGAGGATGAAATACTGCTTCGCTGTTTGGTTTCCCACCACGCCTGCTCTCTTCAAGTGAGTCACAGCCTGCTCTCTTCAAGTGAGCTATGTTATACCTTTGAGTCGACTCAAAAGAGAGGCAGCAGGGAGGATGAAATACTGCTTCGCTGTTTGGTTCCCCACCATGCCTGCTCTCTTCAAGTGAGTCACAGCCTGCTCTCTTCAAGTGAGTCACAGCCTGCTCTCTTCAAGTGAGTCACAGCCTGCTCTCTTCAAGTGAGTCACAGCCTGCTCTCTTCAAGTGAGTCACAGCCTGCTCTCTTCAAGTGAGTCACAGCCTGCTCTCTTCAAGTGAGTCACAGCCTGCTCTCTTCAAGTGAGCTACACCCCAGCCTGCTCTCTTTGAGAAAATCACATCCTATCTTTGAGAGAGCTGAAAAGGGAGGCAGCAGAGAAGAAACAATGCAATACTGCTTTGCTGTTTGGTTCCCCACCATGCCTGCTGTACTCTCTCCAAGTGAGTCACAGGCCAAACCAAACCACGAGACCTTTGCAATAAGTGATCCTGAAGGCTGGCTATGTTGGTGTTACTCTGAGGATTCTCAAAAGTAACACCAACGAAACTGGTTCAAACCACCAACATTATCCAAGCTAGCACAAAAATACATCAAAACCGTAAACTGTCCAACACAGCTGCTTTCAGTCTTTCTCTGTGCTCCCCAGACTCCAGCCTAGGTTTCGCCTGAAACTTCTCAAAAATCCATCCCGTCAACTGATGGTGACAGATCAGTTGTTCCGTCTCCCCAGCCACACCTCTCCACAATCACGTCAACTTCTTGCTGGGAGACGGAACAACTGCTCTGTCTCTTCCCAGCCTCCCTTTCCGTCTCCCCATCCACACTTCTCCACAATCACGTCACCAACACAGGGGATGTGGCAAGGTGTTGCATCAACCAAACACCAACTCTCTCCCCAACCCCTCCAATTTCTTACCCCTCCCAATCCCCACCCCACCCCCTCCCGCCCCCACTTACACATCACGGCAGGGAGTATGGGGAGGTGCTGGTGGCGAGCGGATGTGTGGGCGAGGCCATGCGCGTGTTTGAGACGAATGAGCTGTGGGACCATCTCATCGACTGCTACAGGTGAGCACTGCGAGCAAGGTAGGGTGCACTGCAAGGGTGCACTTACATGCAGGTACAGTACGGTTCTTGAGGCGAACGAGCTGTGGGACCATCTGATCGACTGCTACAGGTCAGCTGCAAAGGAGGGTGGGTGCACTTCACTTCATTCGTGTGTTGTGAGTCAACTCGGAAACAATGAAAAGGGTGCACTTGGTATGCAGGTGTGACCGTTTGTAATGATCCAGCTGTGGGACCATCTGTTCTAATAGAGATGAGCACAGCTACAGGTGAACACTGTTTAGCAACGGTGCACTAGACATGGTTTTGAGTTGAGCTGCAGGTGCACTTGATTCACATTCACACGGCTAGCCTGCAAGGTACACAGTACAGTACACTCTTCAAGTGTATCTCAGCATACACCTGTTCGAGAGGAAAGAGCGAGCATCTGTGGCCATCTGTAGTAGTAGAGTCAACTCAACGCATAAGCACCCGTGTTTGAAGAAATGTTTTGAGACGTCTCAAAACACTTCTTCAAACACGGAACGAGCGAGCCTCTGTGGCCATCTGTTTTAATAGAGTCGACTCAACGCACAAGCACCCCCTTCTTCCCGCCCCCATTTCAGTCTTATGGGGAAGAGGGCAGCAGCAGTGACGCTGGTGACGACAAGGCTGAAGCATCGTTTTTCAACCCCATCCCATCCCCCTCCACTCCTCCCATGATCCCATCCCAGCCTGCTGGGCAAAAGAGCAGCAGCAGCAACGCTGGTGACGGCGAGGTTGAAGTAGCATAAGGAGGATCCACGCCTGTGGTGCTGCCTGGGATCTGTCCTTCTTTCCCCCCATCCTCCCCTTCCCCCCCTCCTCCACTCCCCACCTCCTCCCCCATCTCAGCCTTTTGGGCAAGAGGGCAGCAGCAGCAGCGTTGGTGACAACAAGGTTGAAGGAGCAGAAGGAGGATCCACGCCTGTGGTGCTGCCTGGGAGATCTGACGGAGGAGAAAGAGTGCTATGAGAAGGCCTGGGAGTTTTCCCGACACAGATATGCACGCGCACAGGTATGGAGAGCGGTGGTGGAGTGTGGTGCATTGCAGTACAGTGCGGTGCGGCATAGTACGTAAGGTGTTATCAACGGACGTAATGGTGGTATGGTGACAGTACAGTGGCAGGAGGGGTGGGCTTTTGAGAATCCTCAAACATGATTCTGAGATTTCCCTGAGGAGGAGTGCGATGAGAAAGAAGGCTCGGAAGGCGTTCCAGGGTTTTTTTTATATTATTATCCTCAAAACAAAACCAGGAATGGCTGCGTTTTGAGTCGACTCACAACTCACTATTCTCAAAACAAAACCAGGAATGGCTGCTTTGCATGTGAACTGGGAAAGACGTGGGAAGGTGTGGGAGTTGGAGAGTTCTCTTAGTGAGACGTGGCCTCATTCCCCCTTTCCCTCTACTCTGCTCCCGCTCCCCATCACAGCAAGCACTAGCGTGCATGGCAATGAACGCCAAGGACTTTAAAGCAGCCATGGCTCACTGGGAGGCTGAAAAGGAGAGGCTGCTGTTCAACACTCTCCACTCCTCTCTCCATCTCTCTTCACCCTTTTCAATACAGAGAGCACTAGCGCGCATGGCAATGAACAGCAAGGATTTCAAGGCAGCCATGGCTCACTGGCAGGCTGCGCTGGCTATCAGCCCGCTGCATGCATCTGCCTGGTTCTCCCTGGGCTACTCTGCTATTCAGGTAGGCGTAGTGCGGTGCAGCGCGGGGCAGAAAGAGGGAGAGCAAGCTGTACAGGTATGGCCGGTGCTGGCAAAATGGGAACTGCTCTGGTTGTCAGGCCTTTGCGTCCCTCTGGTTGGTTCTTTCTGGAGTATAACTTAGATATTGAGATTTTTGAGGCACCTAAAGAATCAAGGCGAGTTTTGAGGCGCCTCAAAAATTGTCTTGGTTGGCTCTTTCTGGATTACAACCTAGCTATGGAGTGCGTTGAGACGACTTTTGAGTCGACTCAATCAAAAGTCATCTCTTGGTTGGCTCTTTCTGGATTACAACCTAGCTATGGAGTGCGTTGAGACGAATTTTGAGTCGACTCAAAAGTCATCTCTTGGTTGGCTCTTTCTGGATTACAACCTAGCTATGGAGTGTGTTGAGACGACTTTTGAGTCGACTTAAAAGTCATGTCTTGGTTGGCTCTTTCTGGATTACAACCTAGCTATGGAGTGCGCTGAGACGACTTTTGAGTCGACTCAAAAGTCATGTCTTGGTTGGCTCTTTCTAGATTACAACCTAGCTATGGAGTGCGTTGAGACGACTTTTAAGTCCACTCAAAAGTCATCTCTTGGTTGGCTCTTTCTGGATTACAACCTAGCTATGGAGTGCGTTGAGACGACTTTTGAGTCGACTCAAAAGTCATCTCTTGGTTGGCTCTTTCTGGATTACAACCTAGCTATGGATTGCGTTTAGACGACTTTTGAGTCGACTCAAATGTCATCTCTTGGTTGGCTCTTTCTGGATTACAACCTAGCTGTGAAGGGCGTTCACTTAGTAGCAGTAAGTGAGAGATGTATCGACTGTACTAACAGGTTATGTCATAACTTCAGTCTCTAAGTCGTGATAGGCCAACAGGTGGGCTGCAGTGCGGATCCCACACACATGTTTGTTCAGCCCACCTGCGTTCATCCGTTTGACCCCTGCCTGCTTGCCACATGTCTCCCGACTCCCATTCATGAGCTGGTTGCAGGCATGTGACGGGGACAAGGCGCTGTATGCGCTCACACGTTCGGTGCAGATCGACCCAGACAACGGGGAGGCGTGGAACAACCTGGCGGTGCTGTGAGTGCCTAGTCTATGCTGCGAGTGCTCAGGTCAGGTCATGCTTGCACAGCAATGGTCAGCAATGCGTGCACGCTAATGCATGCACGCTAATGCATGCACGCTAATGCATGCACGCTAATGCATGCACGCTAATGCATGCACGCTCATGCATGCACGCTAATGCATGCACGCTCATGCATGCACGCTAATGCATGCATGCTAATGCATGCACGCTCATGCATGCACGCTAATGCATGCATGCTAATGCATGCAAGCTCATGCATGCACGCTCATGCATGCAAGCTCATGCATGCACGCTCATGCATGCACGCTAATGCATGCACACTAATGCATGCATGCTAATGCATGCACGCTAATGCATGCACGCTAATGCATGCACGCTAATGCATGCATGCTAATGCATGCACGCTCATGCATGCATGCTAATGCATGCACGCTCATGCATGCAAGCTCATGCATGCACGCTCATGCATGCACGCTAATGCATGCACACTAATGCATGCATGCTAATGCATGCACGCTAATGCATGCACGCTAATGCATGCACACTAATGCATGCATGCTAATGCTTGCACACTAATGCATGCACGCTAATGCATGCACGCTAATGCATGCACGCTAATGCATGCACGCTAATGCATGCACACTAATGCATGCACGCTAATGCATGCACGCTAATGCATGCACACTAATGCATGCACGCTAATGCATGCACGCTCATGCATGCACGCTAATGCATGCACGCTCATGCATGCACGCTAATGCATGCACGCTAATGCATGCACGCTCATGCATGCATGCTAATGCATGCACGCTCATGCATGCAAGCTCATGCATGCACGCTCATTTATGCACGCTAATGCATGCACGCTCATGCATGCACAGTCTTGTTGCACGCTCATGCATGCACAGCCATGCTTGCACGCTCATGCATGCTCGCTCATGCATGCACGCTCATGCATGCACGCTCATGCATGCACGCTCATGCTTGCATGCTCATGCATGCACGCTCATGCATGCACGCTCATGCATGCACGCTCATGCATGCACGCTCATGCATGCACGGTCATGCATGCACGCTAATGCATGCACGCTAATGCATGCACGCTCATGGATGCACGCTAATGCATGCACGCTAATGCATGCACGCTAATGCATGCACGCTAATGCATGCACGCTAATGCATGCACGCTAATGCATGCACGCTAATGCATTCACGCTCATGCATGCACGCTAATGCATGCATGCTAATGCATGCACGCTAATGCATGCACGCTCATGCATGCACGCTCATGCATGCATGCTCATGCATGCACGCTCATGCATGCACGCTAATGCATGCACACTAATGCGTGCATGCTAATGCATGCACGCTCATGCATGCACGCTCATGCATGCACGCTCATTTATGCACGCTAATGCATGCACGCTCATGCATGCACAGTCTTGTTGCACGCTCATGCATGCACGGTCATGCTTGCACGCTCATGCATGCTCGCTCATGCATGCACGCTCATGCATGCACGCTCATGCATGCACGCTCATGCTTGCATGCTCATGCATGCACGCTCATGCATGCACGCTCATGCATGCACGCTCATGCATGCACGCTCATGCATGCACGGTCATGCATGCACGCTAATGCATGCACGCTCATGCATGCACGCTAATGCATGCACGCTAATGCATGCACGCTCATGGATGCACGCTAATGCATGCACGCTAATGCATGCACGCTAATGCATGCACGCTAATGCATGCACGCTAATGCATGCACGCTAATGCATGCACGCTAATGCATGCACGCTAATGCATGCACGCTAATGCATGCACGCTCATGCATGCACGCTCATGCATGCATGCTCATGCATGCACGCTCATGCATGCACGCTAATGCATGCACGCTCATGCATGCACGCTCATGCAGGCACGCTCATTTATGCATGCTAATGCATGCATGCACAGTCTTGTTGCACGCTCATGCATGCACGGCCATGCTTGCACGCTCATGCATGCTCGCTCATGCATGCACGCTCATGCATGCACGCTCATGCATGCACGCTCATGCTTGCACGCTCATGCATGCACGCTCATGCATGCACGCTCATGCATGCACGGTCATGCTTGCACGCTCATGCATGCACGCTAATGCATGCACGCTCATGCATGCACGCTCATGCATGCACGCTCATGCATGCACGCTCATGCATGCACGCTCATGCATGCACGCTCATGCATGCACGCTCATGCATGCACGGTCATGCTTGCACGCTCATGCATGCACGCTCATGCATGCACGGTCATGCCTGCACGCTAATGCATGCACGCTCATGCATGCACGCTCATGCATGCACGCTAATGCATGCACGCTCATGCATGCACGGTCATGCATGCACGCTCATGCATGCACGGTCATGCTTGCACGCTCATGCATGCACGGTCATGCTTGCACGCTCATGCATGCACGCTAATGCATGCACGCTCATGCATGCACGCTCATGCATGCACGCTCATGCATGCACGGTCATGCATGCACGCTCATGCATGCACGCTCATGCATGCACGGTCATGCTTGCACGCTCATGCATGCACGCTCATGCATGCACGGTCATGCCTGCACGCTAATGCATGCACGCTCATGCATGCACGCTCATGCATGCACGCTAATGCATGCACGCTCATGCATGCACGCTCATGCATGCACGCTCATTTATGCACGCTAATGCATGCACGCTCATGCATGCACAGTCTTGTTGCACGCTCATGCATGCACGGCCATGCTTGCACGCTCATGCATGCTCGCTCATGCATGCACGCTCATGCATGCACGCTCATGCATGCACGCTCATGCATGCACGGTCATGCTTGCACGCTAATGCATGCACGCTCATGCATGCACAGTCTTGTTGCACGCTCATGCATGCACGCTCATGCATGCACGGTCATGCCTGCACGCTAATGCATGCACGCTCATGCATGCACGCTCATGCATGCACGCTAATGCATGCACGCTCATGCATGCACGGTCATGCATGCACGCTCATGCATGCACGGTCATGCTTGCACGCTCATGCATGCACGGTCATGCTTGCACGCTCATGCATGCACGCTAATGCATGCACGCTCATGCATGCACGCTCATGCATGCACGCTCATGCATGCACGCTCATGCATGCACGCTCATGCATGCACGCTCATGCATGCACGCTCATGCATGCACGGTCATGCTTGCACGCTCATGCATGCACGCTCATGCATGCACGGTCATGCCTGCACGCTAATGCATGCACGCTCATGCATGCACGCTCATGCATGCACGCTAATGCATGCACGCTCATGCATGCACGGTCATGCATGCACGCTCATGCATGCACGGTCATGCATGCACGGCCATGCTTGCACGCTCATGCATGCACGGCCATGCTTGCACGGTCATGCATGCACGGCCATGCTTGCACGGTCATGCATGCACGGCCATGCTTGCACGGTCATGCATGCACGGCCATGCTTGTACGCTCATGCATGCACGCTCATGCATGCACACTAATGCATGCACGCTCATGCATGCACGCTCATGCATGCATGCTCATGCATGCACGGTCATGCATGCATGCTCATGCTTGCACGCTAATGCTGGCGTGCCTGCTTGCTGCACAACTTGGCTTTGCACAACTTGGCTTTGCACAGCTTGGCTTTGCACAGCTTTGCTTTGCACAACTTGGCTTTGCACAGCTTGGCTTTGCACAGCTTGGCTTTGCACAACTTGGCTTTGCACAGCTTGGCTTTGCACAGCTTGGCTTTGCACAACTTGGCTTTGCACAGCTTGGCTTTGCACAGCTTGGCTTTGCACAGCTTGGCTTTGCACAGCTTGGCTTTGCACAGCTTGGCTTTGCACAGCTTGGCTTTGCACAACTTGGCTTTGCACAGCTTGGCTTTGCACAGCTTGGCTTTGCCCAGCTTGGCTTTGCCCAGCTTGGCTTTGCACAGCTTGGCTTTGCACAGCTTGGCTTTGCACAGCTTGGCTTTGCACAGCTTGGCTTTGCACAGCTTGGCTTTGCACAGCTTGGCTTTGCACAGCTTGGCTTTGCACAGCTTGGCTTTGCACAGCTTGGCTTTGCACAACTTGGCTTTGCACAGCTTGGCTTTGCACAACTTGGCGTTGCACAACTTGGCTTTGCACAACTTGGCTTTGCACAACTTGGCTTTGCACAACTTGGCTTTGCACAACTTGGCTTTGCACAACTTGGCTTTGCACAACTTGGCTTTGCACAACTTGGCTTTGCACAACTTGGCTTTGCACAACTTGGCTTTGCACAACTTGGCTTTGCACAACTTGGCTTTGCACAACTTGGCTTTGCACAACTTGACTGAGATTATCATGGCATGCGATGCTCGGCATTGATGTCTTGCCTTGCTAGCTCATGCTCGCATCGCACAACACATCAATGCTAGCATAGCTCGTGCTCTTTCTCTTACTCATGACCGGACATATCATTTTCCGTTCACACCTTGGCTGCCATGGGAGAAACTTACCTTCCTGTCTTTCTTCCTGCCTGTCCTCCACACCTTATATACCATTTAAACATTCACACTTTGAAACCCCCTTGGCATGGCAGCAACTTACAGCGCAACCGAATGCAAGAGGCGTTTAAGACACTACAGGAGGCACTTAAGCACAAGTGAGTAGGGAGTGCAATGGGATACAAGGAGTTGAGATGTGTGCTCTTGCAGGAGAACTACTGTGATCCACTCCTCATCACTCCTGCTTCCCCATTGCTCCTCCCCATTGCTCCTCCCCATCGCTCCTCCCCATCGTTCCGCCCCACCACTCCGCCCCATCACTCCAACCCCTTCACACAGCTTCACCCCCGTCCCCCTCCCCCGCCTCCCACTCTCCTTTCCACAGGGGAGAGGACTGGCACCTGTGGGAAAACTTTGCGAAGGTGGCTCTGGATGTGAAGAGCTACCAGCAGGTGCGGTGGGTTGCCAGCAGGTGTGATGCGGTGCCAGCAGGTGGGGCAGGGTGCCACCAGGTAGGGTGCCATCTTGGACGTGTTATAGCATTGGGACTCTTGAAATTCAAATTGGAATCTTATAGTATTGGGTATATAATACTTCAAGAAACTGTAAATGGCTTATATCCCCGTCCTCTCCTCTCTCCCCGCCTCCCCTGTACGTGGAACTATAGCTTCTTCTTCCTCTCCTCTCAAACAAGTACTCTCAGTTGCCTCTTCCTCTCTCTCTGCTCTCCGCATCCCTTTATCACCCCGGCCCCTGGTCCTCTCTCTCCCTCCCCCCCCTACCCTCGCCCCACCCCACAGCACCTACTTCCTCTCTCTCCCTGCTCTAACCTGCCCCCAACCCAACCCCATGCCACCTCCCCCATTCTCCCCCCACCCATTCCTCTCCCTCCTCTCTCTCTCTCCCCCCAAAGGCTGTTAGAGCAGCATCATGAGTGCTCGAGCTCACCCATTGCAAGCGAGTTGACACGGGTGCTGCTTACTTCCCTATATCTCCCCCTACTCTCTTCATCTCTTCCCCTGCCCTAAACCCCCCTCCACCTTCCCCCACTCTTCCCCCTCGCCTTCCTCTCCCCACTCTCTCTCCCCCCGAAGGTGGTGAGGGCAGCATCACGATTGCTCGAGTTGACTCAGGGAAAGCGGGTCGACACGGGTGTTGCTTCAACCCACCCTCCCCCACCCCCCACTTTCCCCTCTCTCACTCCCCCGCCCCCCAAAGGCGGTGAGAGCAGCATCACGAGTGCTGGAGCTCACTCAAGGCAAGCGGGTCGACACAAGTATTGCTTCAACCCACTCTCCCCCAACCCCCACTTACCCCCCTCTCCCCCCGTGCTTCTCCCCCAAAGGCTGTCAGAGCAGCATCACGAGTGCTGGAGCTCACTCAGGGCAAGCGGGTCGACACAACCGTGCTAGAGGGGCTGATAGGGGTGGTGGAGAGGAATAGGAGAGGCGGGAAAGGGGAGGAGGAGGAGAACAGCGGAGATGGCGAGGGAGGGAGAAGGGGAGAGGAGGGTGAAGGTGAGGGTGGTGGGGAGGGGTTGGAGGGGAGAGATGGGGATGGTGGTGAGATTGATGATTTGATGATGAGTTTACAGCCGTTGGATCTGGGCAAGATGGCAGGGGGAGAGGAGGCGGTGGGCGGGGAGGGTGGAGGAGAGGGTGGAGGAGAGGGGAATGGTGTGCCAGAAACGAATGGTGCTTATAAGGAGGATGGAGGGACGCAAGCAGGGAGTGGCGGTCCCATGAACGAAAGGGAGGCCGCCAGGCTTGAAACCGAGCTGAGGAAGCTTCTGGGAAAGGTGGGATGCCGTCCTCGGTTTATGCAAGATTCACGACACTCTGCTGCTGCCTTTGCTGCCTTATGCTTGACACACATTGTGCATATCCTTCAGCCGCCACCTCTGCTCGACCCCCACTGCCTTACTTGTCAACCCCCTCTAACCTAAACAAACACCAACAGGCGGTGGCGTCAGGAGCAGGGGTGCCGGAGATTTACTGCTTGATAGACAAATCCCGTAACCACCACATCCCCTCAACCCCCCACCATTCCACTTGTCATCCCCCTAAACCTAAACAAACACCAACAGGCAGTGGCGTCAGGAGCAGGAGTGCCGGAGATTTACCGCCTGCAAGGAACCTTCCTGGAAGCCGTGGGCGATGCTGACGTGGCAGCGGAGGCCTTCCTGCGCCACGTGCGCTCGCTGCAGTCTGCCAGCTGGCAGCACGGCGAGCCAGATGCGTTCCGCCAGCTGACACGGGCGGCGCTGAGGTGGACGGTGGCAGTGGTGCGAGGGGTGGCTGGGGAAGAGGGGATGGAGGAAGTGAAGAGGGAAGGAGTGGAGGAGAGAGAAGGGGAGGGAGTGAGAGTGAGTGGTGCTGGCAAAAGGAGGTTGGCATCGGTGCGCATGCTTCTAAGCAACATCTTGAAGCAGGTAACATGGAAAGGGAAGATGTTATTACTACAATCTGGTACAATCTATTGTGATTGTATGTCCGATTGCTTTCGCTTGAAAGGGCTGGAAAGACTTACTAGGCATTTGTGGAGTTCATAAATAAGGCGCCTCAAATGTTGTTCATTCTCCAACCTCCAAGCACGTATGCGTATCTGAAAGCTCCTTCCTTTCTCTTGTTTGTCCGCAGGGAGACCATTTTTCTGATGTTGGGGAGTTTGGAGAGTTGAAAGCAGCTTTGGGGGCAGTTAGCACTATGGAAGCTAGAGGGGAATAGTAGTGGTGGTCACACTTCTGGAATAACATGAATTCGAAATTTGTGTTACTTCCTTGAATAATATTAGCATACCAGACCGACAGGTTTAGAATACCGTCACCCCCCGGATAAGTCCCCATGGGGAGGTATAATAAAACAGGGTTTTTTAGGGGGGTGGGCTTATAATTTGTTGGAAACAATTGATTTAGCGCCTCTGTCGTGTCGAAACACCAAGTCAGAAGCGAAGCGGAACATATCAAAGCATTAGCGAGTCAACCCTCGGAGGTTGAACAACTGCTGGAGGTTACGCGAAAGTCAAAGGTCAGCGACCTTTGACCTGACAAGAACAGCGCGACAACAAGGACAAACAACTGACTCGCTATTGAGCAGTTGCTCGAGTCGTCACTGTGTCGAACCTCAACAGCAATAGTAAAACGGTTATTAACTGTATCTCTTCGTATTCCTTGTACTCTTATAAAAGCTTGTGTCCTTATGCTTTAATCAATCTACTTTGCCCTCACATACCAGCGCAAGGTGGTTCACAAACTTCTCATTAAACGCTTCCGCTATTACATTGTCCTACTCAGAATTTAGTCCTGCACAGATCCTAAGGGCTTTTCTCAGCCCAACATGGTATGAGAGCTATCAGGACAAATTCAACTGCAATCAAAACACCCACATCACAAGGCATGGCAACGCAGAAGGAGAGAAGCTCCTCTAACGGCTCTCCCGGTACTACTCCTACTCCACCTCCTGCCTCTAGCTTACAGACAGAGGAGGGCACAACGACAAGACCAGCAGCTGGGTCTATCGAAACTCCCGCAAATCAAGCCGCGGCCTTCGACCTAGACATGATGGAGAAATTCTTCTCCTTCATGTCCTTCTACGAACAACATCAGCAAGGGGCACCTGCGCAGTCAAACAACAGCAACAACAACAACGCAACACCGATGAGCCTCGACGGTTCATCCTACGCACGAGGAAATCAGCAACAACCTACCTTCGCTCTGTACGAGCCCCAGCGAGGTTCCATCAGCTTCATGCCGCACCAGCAACCTTCACCTCGACAAGAGAAGACGTTGGACGCACTCCAAGTTCAGTCGCAATTCGCACATGTCTTGAAACTGCAAACTTCAAGACCATTCGACGGGAAGGACTTCTTCACCTGGTCATTCGAGTTTGAGCTAATGATGGAAGGCGCGCAGATACTCAGCTTCTTCGACGGGTCCCTGCCATATCCAACAAACGGCACGCAATACGACAAGCAGCAGTACACGTATCAGTCGATGATGGCGTACACAATTCTACTGAGGAACATCACTCCGAATCAGCAACAGAACATTCGGTCTTACCGGGGATACGGCAACTCTGCCGAACTCGCATACAAACACCTGAAGAACCTACATCAAGCAACAGACATCGTCAATCAGAGTCGGTTGATGGCGCAATTGACAACAGTGGAAATGAAACCGGGCGAAAAGGGGATGGCGTATATCAGTCGCTGTCGCGAGTTGCGCGACAAGCTTCTTCGATGCGGAGGAACGATATCCGAAGACGCCTTCGTCACAGTCATCACTGGCGGCCTTGGTCCGCAATGGCACTCCACCCGAGCCATTCTCCGAGCCCACGGGAAAATCTCCGAAGCAATTCTCTGCGCCGAGATTCACGCCGAACAGCAAGACATGGACCTACAAGAAGAAATACACAAGAGGAAGACGTCAGTGCCTGAGTTCGCCTTCCACACTCAACGGCGCTACAACAACAACAACAACCATCGGCAAAACAAGTACCAAGGTCAACAACCCGTACCTCCGTTCTGTCATCTCTGCAAGACGCCAGGTCATCCCCGCACACATTGCCCTAACCGGCAGCAGTCAGCACCAACGCAGCGGCAGCTCCGACCTTCAAGCAGTCAAGTTGCCTCAACGCAAGCAAATTCCACCACTCAAGTTCAATCGTCAACAATGTCGACGGGACAACCTGCACAAGAAACAAGGAACATCGTCAGCTGCATGGCAAGATTGACCAACTCCTGCATCACTGAATCGCCGCCGCACTACTCACCAGAAGAATAACTCGACAAAAGGACTCCACGTCGAGAGTCGCTGCAACCGAACCCAACGTACGCAACCATCGCCCAAAACGAACCGTCTGGGAAGGATACCTGGTTCTTGGACAGCTGCTGCGGACAACACATGTGCTATTCAGGTCGCTTCGTTCAACGGGAATACCAACTCCAGCGGGAAGTCGTCATCACCGTCGCGAACAACCAGAACCTGTGCACACGACGACAAGGCATAGTTCAACTTCAGTCACGAGAGACAAACGTCATACTACAAATGTCAAAGGTTTTAATAGCAGAAGGACTCGGCTACAACTTACTAAGCGTTAGTCAACTGATGGCAAAGGGCATACACCTCGAAGCAGATAGCACCACTCAGGAGCTTAAGTTATACCACGGGAAGGGCGGTCTCTACTTCGGGAAGGCGGTCTTGAAAAATAACGTCTTCGTCCCAGATCTCGGCACAGTTGACAGCGACGGGATCGTCACTTTTACCTCCTGGACACATCCACCGGATCTCGACCCCGACTTCAGCCACGAAGGCTTCTGGTACTCGCACACCATCCATGAGGTAGAACGAACAAGAGCATTAGCATCGATTCAACACTCGACAGCAGCGGAGACAACATCGGCAGCAGCAGAAACAACATCGGCAGGAGCGGAGACAACATCGGCAGCAGCAGAAACAACGGCAGCAGCAGCGGCAACATCGACACCAATCGATGGTCCTTCAACTGCACCGGCTCCAATCGAGGATGACATCCCACCCACTCCTGCGCAGCAACTTAACCCAACACCACGAGAAGTACATCGAAGCGCAAACTTCACCGCAAGCTTCTACTCCAACTCCGACTTGTACCGTCGCTCACCCGGACATCGAGCTGGCGAAGACATCTGGCACGCACGAATGGGACATCCAAGCAACACGGTGTCAAACATCACAATCAGAGCAGGAGTGCTCTACAAAGATTCACTGCTCCTAACCGACGGAAGCGAACTTCGACGAGCTCGTGGAACGTGCTTTACCTGCCCCGAAGCTGACTTACCACATCGGCCATTCTCTTCTCACCATAACCCCAGCGCACCAGCTTACGCACCACTTGAGAAAGTGTACAGCGACATCCTGTACAATCGCGAACCTGGACAAGGAGCATATAGCTACACCATCACGTTCATCGATGCCGCTACGCGTTACGTTTGGCACCTTAACCTTCCGAGCAAGGACATGGCTTTCGAGGCCTTTGACGCTTGGCTCCCAGTAGCAGAACGAGAATCGGGCTAGAGTAGTAGGTAGGTAAGCCCACAATTATGAGCAAAGCTAGAGGCTATCGCAGAGGGCTAGTGTGGAGGAGGAGGGACTATGAGAGGAGAGGAGGTAGTGGGCGGCAGCTGAAGCTGCTGGCACACGGCGCAACTAGAGCAACTGGCACACGAGCAACTGGAGCAACTGGCACACTGGCAAATGGAGCAATTGGCACACGGGCTACTGGAGTAACTGGCTCCGCGGCTAAAAGTAGCGGCAGACGAGCAACGGACTCACGGGCGACTGGAGCAACGGGCTCACGGGCGACTGGCGCAACGGGCTCACGGGCGACTGGCGCAACGGTCTCACGAGCGACTGGAGCTGCTGGCTTCTCGGCGGCCACCCCCTTCAACCTCCCCAAACTATCCCACCCCCATTTCACACACCCCCTACTATACCCCTAGGGTCACTCACATGTCACCCCCCTAGCACCACTCCTTCGTCTCCCACACACCCACCCCCCTCAGCGGCAGCTGCAGCAGCGGGAGACGGAGGAGGAGGAGGAGCAGGGGACCGCTCACACACCCGCCACCCCCATACCCATCACCCCCATACCCTGAGTGTGCGGTAAGCAAGCTCAGGTGTGCGCGAAGCGTGCACAAGCGTGCGGGAAGCGAACTCGGGTGTGCAGTAAGCGAACTCAGGTGTGCGGGGAGGGGGGCCGCAGGGCGACACGCGGGTCCACGAAGCGACGCACGGGTCCCACGGGGTGGCGCGCCGGGATGGCGGGGGCCGCGCGCGGGTCCCTAGGGCGACGCAACGGGATCGCGGGGGGCGCACGCGGGTCCCCAGGGGCGACGCGACGGTCGACGGGGTGGACGCGCGGTTCTCCGGGGGCGGTGCGACGGTCGACGACGAGGGATGCGCGGGTCCCTGGGTGACACGACGGTCGACGTGGAGGGACCCGCGGGTCCTCCGGGTGACGCGTGAGGCAGAAAACCGCCGTGCGCCCCGAGCGCGCGGTGGGCAGAAAACCGCCATGCGCCCCGAGCACATGGCGGGAAGAAAATAAACGTCGCACGCCACGGGGCGCGCGACAGACAGGATAGCAGCAGAAGCAGGTGGGCCCACAGGCCAGGAGCGTACTAGCTCTGATAGCATGTGAGAGTAGTAGGTATAGTGAGGAGCCATAGCTAGGGTTTACCTAGCTAGGCAAGAGAGAGTTAGGTAAAAGAGGAGGTTGCACTAGCAAGAATGAGGATACAAATAGCAAACCCTAGAAGGGTTGTACTCGCTATAGAGCACCCCACTACAGGCTAGAGCATAATATTCTGACACGGGCGTGAAGCTAAAAGGCTTCCAATCAGACGGAGGAGGAGAATACACCTCATAGAGGTTCAAGCAGTACTTGGCAGAAAGAGGGATCAAGAGGCTCATCTCTCTTCCCTACGCTCACCAACAGCAAGGCGTAGCAGAAACGATGAACAGGACTCTCCAGAATACCATGCGCAAGATGCTACGAGGCATGCGACTGCCCAACCACGAGTGGCCCGAAGCAATGGACCACGCTGTCATGCTGCACAACTTGCTCTCGTCATCATCGCTCCCGAACAACGCATCACCGCACTTGCTGTGGACAGGAAAACAGGGCAGCACAAAAATGTTAAGAGTTTTCGGCTGCATGGTACAGTACCGACCCCCATCTGCACGAGGTGG